TCAGGTGTTGTATCAAAACCTGACTCCGAGGGCAAATCTGACTTTGCTTCGCATTTGCGCGCATCATGCAATGCCTGCAGTTGAGTAAAACTCAGCGATTTATTATAGACTTTTCATCAATCATTTTTCTTACAGTTGACAGCAAGAACAAACATAGAAGCATTGACAAGCAGCTACATGTGTTCAAAAGAATTAAAAAAGCAAAAAAAAAAGATTCTATGCCGCATTTTGAAATGTAATACAATCTGTATTTAGCTGTTCGCTTGTATCGTGGCTCTGAACTGTCAAAATATCTCTAAAAAAGGATTTTTTTGGACATGACATATTTGTACATATGTAATGCGTTTTATTCAAAAACATTTGAGCTGGTTTTAGTCCTTATCTCTTTCATTTTTATCTTATTAAAAATATATTTAACTTGCTTGGTAATTAAATCCCATTTAGTTTTTTAACCTATTATTTTTATCCAACAGTCAAGTTGCACGTCAATTAGCTATAAAAAAAAAATAAATAAATAAATATATATATAGCCTTCGATAAGAGTTATCGATATCAGCCAAAAAATCCACATTGGTGCATCCCAAGTGTGCCGCAAGCCTGCGTTTGAGTGAAGGTCTCGGCCGTTAGATCGCCCCCTGGGGGCTAGCTGCAGTATGTCCTCCGTGTTAATGAAGGAGACTTGAGCCCAAATAAAAAAAATTATTACACTTGCAATATAATGTCCCGAAAGATGGTTCTGGTCGATTAAGGCACTGGTTATTGTGCTGAAATAGGTGCAGATCTTCATTTTTGTAAACAGTTTGTTTTTAGCAGTAATTTAATGCTGGGCGTGTCATCGTGATTGACAGCGGTGATTGACAGTTTCTCAAAGCGCGGCGTCTGAGCCTTCGGCAGGAGACTGAAGTAGACTGAAGTGTTATTATTAGATTTCTGTGTTATATTACCATGACAAAATGAGTTCAGCAGTAAACTATAGTTTCTGACATACATGATCCTGGTGGAACACTGTTTATTCGCTAAGTTCAGGGCTTTTTTCGGGCTTTATTAGTTTGCTGATACACGCCTAGCCACCCAGATAGCAAAACACAGTTCCGGCTAGATTCTCGCCTGCTGGAGACTTATCTCTTAGAGCTCAGACTGACTACCTCTGCTGGACCTACTCCGGATGCCTGGACTCACTACCCAATTCTAGCCCGAGTCAATCGAGCCAGATGCGGCGGCCGAGCGAGCCGGCGCTGCCGCATGCGAGCCGGAATCAGCCCGCGACGCCGCGAGTAGGTTATGCGCTGCGGCCTGGACCTGGCGCGATTGAATATATAAAACCCTCATATTTGTTAACGTTTTTACATCCATTTGTGTTGATATGACAGCAAACGCATGCTGAGAAGTTCGGGGGGCGTGGTTGATTTTACATAAAGCGTTTGGTTGGAAGCTCGACTCCGCTCATTTTTGCGGCTCCTCCTCTGGCTCCATCAGACAATCCTTCTGCGCATGTCAAGGCTCCAATTTCAGCAGTCTTTTGCGACAGTTTGTGCCCGTCAAGCAGGCGTTTTGCCCTCAAGGCGTTCAATGGGAAAAAGGGCTGTCGCGTCGTCCATATTTTTTACAGTCATTGGTGCATCCCTAATTAAGCTCAGAATTGTATTAACATAAGTGGTGTGCACTGATTCTAATCAAAACATTCAGGCATGTTACAGCCTTATGCCAAGTTCAGACTGCACAGTTTTCAAAGTAGTCGTGTCACAGATGTTTTCACACTGCATGACTATCTGGGGTAGAGTTCTTCCGGTGCTGTTTACTCACCTCTAGGATGGATCAGCAACAAGGATTCACACTGCATGGCTTCACAATAGGAACAATCGCCAACTACTTTGTCTCGGTCCTCAAACTACATCTCACAACCAGATAGAGACAACAACAGGTCAGCTAGTTTATCTTTTGTTATTAACTACATAATGAGAAATAAGCCTTTAGAAGGGTAGAAAATGTATTTGTTTTCCTCACCTGGCTTTTTAAGAGATTTAGCAATTTCTCTTAAACTTTTTTCTTTTTGACCCAGTTGTGGTATTGCTCACACGGGTGCTGCTGCAAAATTTACTCTAGTTTTTCCTTCATTTCATGGGTCCAAATAGACAGAAAACAAACCCCTTTAGCTTCTCCCACAACCTTCCACTGTCCTACAGGTACTCATACTAGTGGATGCTCTCTCATTAGCTGTAGGTAATCACTGATGTTATTTTCAATCAGAATACATTTCACACTAAATGATTTTGAATCACCGACAGGCCCAGATATTTAGCATGCCAAATATCTCAAGGGTGTCAGTGACTCATCTGCGTTTTTTTCAGATACTGTCTTTAATAGTTCAAACTGTGTGATTTGTTACTCGCAGAATTAGCACGGATTTACCTGTGATTTCAGGAATTTGTCTGTGATTTTTCTAACCTGTGGGTGAGTTAAAATTGGGGTTGAAATCATGCAGTCTAAATTTGGCATTAATGCCAATTTATTAGATATTTCTATTCTGCACAAAGTCTCCATATGAGGGTGGAGAAGTACAGTGTGTTTTCTGTGGAATACACTTTCTTTGCAGTTCGCTGCTCCAGCAGATAGGTGCATGAACAGAGAACTCCTGTGAACTCACTCAGACCAACAAGTACACACAGCTCTATGAATGATATCTGATAACTTTTCCTCCACTCCAAATCGATGAACTATGTTAAAAACAAGTCTCTGCTTTCTCATTCAAAAATTACTTGTAGAACATCACATTGCATTAAAAAGTTTTTTTGTAATCTGGCTAAAACCCATTCAATCAACATTCAATTCATCTCAATAAAATTTTAAACTTTATATTTAAAAAGTAATTCCATTTATCAAAATAGTTTAATTATTTTCCTCACAATAACATTGGTTTAAAAGTGTGCCATGTATTTCCTCCTGAGGACACCAACCTGGACAGATTGTTGTGCATAGATTTAGTTTATTATAATTTTTTATAACTTTTAAAACATTTGTTCTTATTTTAAAGAAAAGTTTATGTTGGGAAAACAGTGTATGGATACAAGTAGAGCTTGCTTGTTTTACACTATGTAAAACATTTTACTAATATCTGAACTAATTTTACTAATATACTAATTACTAACTAATATTACTAATATTACTAATATTTTATTAATATATTAAGTTTTTTATTATTTCATTATTGTATTAAATGTATAAAAAATGTTGAGAGGGCAAATAACAATCTTTTCTAACTGGGCCTTTTGAAATATTCTTAGCCTTTAGCTCTTATTAAGTCTAAAATTTTATTTATAATGGTCATAATGTGTTAAAGTCTTAAATTTAACTTTGTAAAACCTGCAGAAACCACGTTCCATGTAAATAGGTTTGAAGAGCGATTAAGCCCTTACTCTGATCTCGTTATTCATGCACATGTAGTCATCTGTACAGTTTGTATTTTTGATCAAATAAATGCAGTGTTGATCAGCTTAATAGCTTTTTTCTTTTTTAAATCTTATTGATCCTAAATTAAAAACTACATTTAAAAATGATGTTCAGAATGATTAATAATTGTTGTGTTTCTTCATTTTTAGAAACCCAAAACACCCTGCTGATTCTGCTCAGAGGTTTAGCCCAGCAACACTCTCAGGAATTTCAAAGTGTGGTAATGTCACTTCCTGATGAGCAGAGAAACAAAATGACCATGGCTGTCACTCAGTCCTAGCACTCACATATCCAGCTTTCTTCCCTTCCAGAAGGCCTTGCGCTCTTGCGAAAGCCAGCCAAGTTGATGAGATATTTTTATGATGTTAGAAATAGGCTGATTTGTTTAGCTGAATGTCAGCATTCTGTTCTGCAGCAGAGAAGTTGAGATGCTTTCTCTTAATTTATTGCAAACATTCACTAATGCTCGTACACTTTTATTTTGGTTTACTTTGTCATTTTTTCATTTGCTATTTTTCTGGACGTCTCATTGAATCTTTTGCTTTTCCATCTATATTGGATATTCCATGAAATTCTGGCTTAATATTTGAGTGAAGCTTTAAATTGCTCTTGTGTTGAAAGAAATACATTTCTATGAATTGTTGACTGACATTTCTGTATTTTACATTTGTTCACCATCTTTCTGAAAAATTTATTTCTATAGAAAAATGCAGTTTGCATTTGAAACATGAAAAGTTGCCATATAGATTTATACCTCTTCATATCTGCTTCATTTTAGCTTTTCATTGCATCGGTTATGGACTTAAGCGTCAACAAAGCAAACAAACATTTCAATTCTGACATTTGAGGGTAACATGCATTTTTTAATGATTATTATCTCAAATTTAAATATGTGTATATACACTATCTGACAAGTCTTGTCTCCTATCCAAGTTTTAGGAACAACAAATAATAACTTGATTTAACTTGATCTAACTTGTCTAGTTGATCATTTGGTATTAGAAGTGTTTATATGAACTGCAAAAGGCTCTAGGTTATGCTTTTTTTTACCAAAATGAAATATGATTGCACGTTCCCATACTGAATATAACCTCAAACCATGATTTTTTTCTTCACCAAACTTGACTGATTTTTGTGAGAATCTTGAGTCTATGCTGGTTCCAGTATGCCTTCTGCAGTATTTGTGATGATTGGAATGCAGTTCAGCAGATGATTTATGGGGAAAATGTACCTTCTGCCACTTTTCCAAATGATTAACTAGGAGTCAAGTTGTTATTTGTTGCTTTTACAACTGGGGTCGACGACAAGACTTTTGTCAGGTAGTGTGTTAATAATGCTGAATTGATTTGATCAATATACAAAAACGTAACAATTCAAATATAATTTATTCCTTGGATGACAAAGGTGCCTTCAGAAGATTCTTGTAGTTGGCTGTTTTGGTATTCAAATATATTTATTTTTATTATCAGTGTTAAAAACATGCTGACAAGACCTCAAACATCTGAAAATGATAACATTAAAACATACAAAAATAACAGCTTGAAAACTTTTTGTACATTAGAATGTGATGTTTTATTTTAGGCAAAAAAAAAAAACATTTTTTACAGTGATTTACAATAGACACCCACTAAAATGTTATTCAGTTTAACAATAGTTTATAAAAGGATACTGTATTTAGAATAGAAATGATCCAACTGCTAGAGTTTCTAAATTTCAGCGTATTCATAATCTTTTACCTTTTATTTAGGTGAAATATATCTGAAATATATCTGTTAAACAGAATGACGATGGAACCACGTCACACACATTTTGAAATGTTATTTTCACAAAATGCATTAAATCAGACCCTAGCTTTTAAAATGCTTTCTATATGCATGTAAAATCAGTTTTTAACATGTAATGTTGTTTGATTAAATGCTGATTATTTTAAAATACAAAAATAGCAAGAACTTAAAACCTCTTTTAAAAAAAGAATTGTTAATAAAAACCTTAGATATTCAACCACATTAAAGGTTAAAATACTTCAAATGCAGCATTGCACATAGAATGTAGATTAGAGTATACATGTTCAAAAGATGAAATGAAAGTCTTCTATGCAACTCTATTTCTGTTAGATTGCTTTAGCCTTGCTGTCAAATGTCTTCCATTCACTTCTCTCCTGGCAAGTCAAACTTTTCTTGGGTTTTCTGGCCTTTGGTCTTGGATTCAGATGCTGTGTCCAAAGGCAGAGTCATTTCTACCGGCTGGAGTTCATTTTCAGCTAAAAACAACACAAAAACACTGAGTATTTTAGGACTTAAGATAAAACAGATCTTGAGTAAAATCTTATATATATAACAATGTATAAAACAAATGTATTTCTTCTGAAGCCTTTATTAAAGCTTTAATACATTTTATGCAATCAAAAAGCATGTCTGATTAATGCTTATGAAGTAACAGTTTAGGTAACAAAAATAGCATTGTATTGCTGCTGTAAAATCAAAATAGAAAACATAATTTTGATTAAAGTAAAAATAAATAAATAAAATAGTTATAATGTATACTCTACAATACTAATAGGCTCTTATTTTTGTCATAATAAACCGAACGTTTATTTTGATAAATTTTTAAGAGGACATACAATAATTGTCTTTGCAAGATAAAAGTCTCTGATCATCATCATATAAAACATCCTACTTTTCATCCAAATGCTTGATGTAAACTCTGTTTTTATGGCTGGTTTCCACATTTCCCTCCATGATTTCCAAATAACACAAATCAAAGTGATGTAGTTATTTTTGTCTGCTTCAGATTCCTTGACAAATTCAGCACGTAAACCCTGAAGAGTTTTGAGGTTTAAAGACGGAGAACTTCAAACGCTTTGCGCACACACATTCTCACTCACTCACTGGAGAGAATGCTGAGTGTGCGAATAGCAAACACACTTACTCAGCAGCCGTGAGCGCTCTGTTAGCTCACCTCAATGATCTGCAGATGTCATCTGTTAGTTACTGTCAGGAATAGACTGTTTTATTACTGCGAGCATTCATACTGTGGCCTAATGCAAACCAACAAAAAGATGATGATAAAATTCACTTCATTCAGACACTAATAATAACATTCGTAATTGTGCTTGCAGATGAAATTCACTGCACGTCCAAAACCAAAAAGAAAAGTAATTTACTGTGATAATTAATTGGATGGCTTTTAGCTTTAATTACAGCCCACATTCCCCAGGCTATCATTTCAGCATGCATTTGCAATGTCACAACATTTATTCCCTTCCAGATATGCATACAATTTTGGATGATAAGAGAGTCAGACCGCTGTGCTAAATCTTCTAACCCCAAAGATTCTCAATAACGTTAAGATCTGGTCTCTATGGAGGCCAATCTATGTGTAAAAATTCTTTCACTTTTTGAGTCTGATGAATGTAAGCATTGTTATTCAGGGAGAGTCATCAGGGAGAAAAAAAGTTCTTTGATGGTCATTCAGTATACTCAGGATGTCAGGTGACCTTATTCATTGGGCACATAACATTCCTGAACCTAGACCTGACCAATCGCAGCATCCCTTAATCACAGCACTCAGTTTTTTTGGTGTACTGTCTCTTTAATTAGAACCATTAATAATTAAACAAACCAGAGTCAGAAATTACACTTATACTACAGTTAACACACCTAAAGACAGTTCAGATGTTGTATTTTGTAAGGAGGAATTGAGTTGGGGTTGTTGAATTAGACAATACCACACACCTGAAGTGATAAAGCGGCCCAACATGAAGCAGTGTTTTTTTTTTTTTTTTTAAGTTTCACAATTTGAAGGCATATTCCACTTATACTACAGTTAACACACCTAAAGACACAGTTCAGATGTTGTATTTTAAGACATTAGTCAGGTTTTTGTCCTCAAACTGCTTCTGTGTGTATACATCCCATCAAAAGCCTTTTGGTTTGTTTTGATTTTTGATCGTTGCTGGGAAATAACTGAAATCGTTCATTGTTGTGATGTAAAACTGTAATGTGGTCGAGACCCGATTGTAATTACTTTAAACATGCAGTTACTTAAAAATAATTGGAATGTTCATCAGCCAATCAGAATCGTGCATTCAACACCCCTATAGTATAAGTTTAATGTATGCTGACACTTAGTCATTTTTCAAAATGATTTGGTAAATAAAGCACAAGCCCAGATCAAATCAATCTTGAGCAGCCAAAAGCCATTAGAGAAACCAGCATCTTAATGTGCTTTCAGATGTGAAATCCTGCAGTCCTCAAACTGTCCTGTTTCATTATAGGGGTCTATGTGCAGATGCATTGATATTTATTGCTCTAATGCTATAGTGTTTGTAAATGTGTTTGCATTTTTAAACTGGTAATAACAAGTGGCTGCAAGAAGAGTGTTGGAAGGTCAATGAAAATGTTGGGAGAAAAATCTAAAGTTAAAATAAAGAAAATTACAAAAATGATTTACAAAAAAAAAAAAAAAAAAACTCAAACAAATAAATTAGTTTATTTCATCAATTAAAATGAATGCATAGCCTGCTAGCATAAAACTGGTTCCCTCGATAAAATACCCATTGGATTTTCCTATTGGCTTTTGAAAAATTGCAAACAATAAGCTCTGTGTTCAAACACTGTTCATTACACTTACATGTTTTGTCCAACTGGATAATCCTCACACAATGATATAACTTTTTATCATTTTTGGATTCTAAATGCAAACACTAGAACTGAAAAGCTAACATTAGGCCATATATGGACTAGACTGACTAGGCTCGCTTGTTATGTCACCACCAGTGTTAGGGAAAGTTACTTTAGAAAGTAAAGCATTACAAGATTGAGTTACTCCTCTAAAAAGTAACTAGTTGCGTTAATTAGTTACTTTTTATGGTAAGTATTTTGTTAAGATACTTTTTTTTTTTTCAAAACTGCCTGAGGCTTGATCTCTTTCAGAACTTGCAGGAAAGTTATCTCTTTTTTTAAATAGAGGAAGTCTGCATTTAACAACACACCTTATAACCTACTGGTTCCATCACAGAAATGTAAGGCTCTGGCATCTTTGTTTCTGTCTGTTCCCGTGGGGAGCTCATTATCTCATTGAGTGTGTTTCAACGTGATCACACAATTTTAATTCAGCAATTTAAAAAAAAAGCAAATTAATCTAAAAAGTAACTGAAAATATTATTACTTAATATTAAAGTAATGCATTACTTAACTCGTTATATAGAAAAGTAAAATTCTTATATAACTCGCGTTATTATTATGACCAATGCTGGTCACCACCACCAGTGACAACTTTCTAAGCTTATTTTTATAAACATAATAGAAAAATAGAAGTTAAGGGGAAAGTGTTAAATACGATTATAAGTAGGCTATTAGAAGCAGAAGTACTGGGTATTATTATTATTATTATTATTATTATTATTATTATTATTATGAATACTGGGGTATAAGGGTGTGTTTGTATGTGCAGGAGAAAAGGGTGGGGAAGAGGGAAGTGAGAGGTAAAGTGATTCTGATGCATACTCCGGAGCTGAAGGAGGCGATAATGCACTAAAACGCTGACTACCAACCGCCGTTTCTTCGCCGCTGAAGAAAGTGTATTGAAGTGGTATCTTTTTCCAAATAATTAACAGAAAGACTGTATTTTATAAAACAATGTCAACAGCGATGAACTTTGGAAGCAAGACGTTCCGACCGCGTCCACCGGACAAAGGAGCGTTTCCCTTGGATCACTTCGGTAACGTAAGAGTGTTTATGGACGTGCATCATTCTCACATTCATGTTCATATTCATTTACCAAGTCATATTTTTGTGTGCGCAGGTGAATGTAAATCATTCAAAGAGGTATATATGCAGTGCCTAAGAAACAATCATTTTGACAACTCGCGATGTCGGATAGAATCAAAGGAGTATCTGGAGTGCAGAATGGACAGGTGAGCTTTTTCTTCCCCCTAAGTTAAAAAATTCAGATCATATACATTAGGAACCAAGTTAATCATAAAGGTTTTTCTTAATTTACAGACAGTTAATGACAAAGGAACCTCTTGAAAAACTTGGCTTTAATGATTTGACGGAGGATCTGTCAGAAGAAAATGAAGCCAGATCCTGACAAAGTGCTCTTTTAGTTTATCTGGCCATGTGATATGAATAGCGTGTAACGTTATACTATTAGCCAGAGCCCATGCTTGGTGCTCGGATTGATACTTTACATATTTGAAGTTGTTGTAGAATCCATTAAAAGGTAATTATTTGAAATCCAGTCTTCTTGGACAGTAATGTTATGAACAGAGTTGAACTTCAAAATAATGTCTGTGTATATATATATATATATATATATATATATATATATATATATATATATATATATATATATATATATATATATAATTATATATATAAATTAAAACTTTAAATTTGAAATGATTTGTTATACATTTCATTTGGCTCTCATTTCATTGCAATCTCACCAAATAACTGATCTCACAAACCAGCTTAAATGTGCATATATCAGCAAACATTCTGTGAATTAGTTTCTGAGGAAGGTTTGTCTTCTAAAGTTGGTTAGATTTCTAAGAAAAGAAAATGGAATGTTCTCCTAATCTCTAGATTATTATCTCTTTACATTAGGGCTGCAATATATAGTTTTGGCATTAATATCGCAACAAGGCTTTCTGCAATAGTCACATCGCAGGATATGCAATGTTGAGTTGTAATTATAGTCGATTAACAATTGACTATACATGAGATTTGCAGCGTATTACCATAACAGAGTGAAACTTTATCATATGCATGTGTTTTAAATGGCACTTCAAGAAAGTTTAAAGCAGTTGGCCACAATAAGATTAAACATTTGTAACTTTAATGAAGAAATATTTACTGATTTAATTATACAATTAACTATAGTGTTATTTTACATTACTAAATTTAAATTCGGTTTAACCCTGGAAAACCATAAAGAACGGTTTATTTACTTTTTTCCTTTGCACGTAATTATTCTTGCTTTTATTATTTTAATACATGATTCTTACAAATCATACCCTTGCAAAATCAACCCAACCAATCTAAATGAATGATTTTTCACAAGTAGAGCTATTCATGCCATCTGGCAAAATAGTTTTTCATATCGCAATCTATATTGCAGCAAAACAAAATATTGCAATATCAGATTTTTCTAATATTGTGCAGCCCTATTGTACACAAATAATCACTTCTACGTTGTTTGTTATTAATAAAAACAAATCACAAATTTGCAATTGCTGAATATATAAATAAAACAGTTGTCCAACAAAGCACTCTAAGCCGCTATTCATTTTAATTGAGAAAATATTCATTTATGACCACATTTTAGTCATATAACACATTAAACTGAATTTTAAATTAAATCATGGTTTATACAATTACAGTCTGCATCGCAGACACCAATATTTTAACAATTTCTATAAAATTGTATCCCTTGCTGGCCATCAGATATTAGGCATGGATATACAATCACCGGTCACTTTATTAGGTACACCTTACTATTAACGGGTTTGACCTCCTTTTGCCATCAGAACTGTCTTAATTCTTTGTGGCATAAATTCAACAAAGTACTGAAAATATTCCTGAGATTCTGATCCATGTTGACATAATAACATTATGCAGTTTCTGCAGATTTGTTGCCTGCAAATCCGTGATGCGAATCTCCTGTTCCACCACATCCTAAAGGTGCTCTATTAGATTGAGGTACATTGAACTCATTGTCATATTCAAGAAACCAGTCTGAGATGATTATTAAATATTAAAATGATTAGGAGTTTAGCAAAAAAATCAAGGTAAGATAAAGTCAATTTAAGCAGTTAAAAAATCTAGTATTGTAGTATCAGTATTAGCTTCAACTTCTCGTTAAATTCTGCAAAACAATAAAACTAAATGCAATTTTGCCAAAAAACATGAGCTGCTGCATGTCCTCACCTGGCTGTGTGTGTCTCCACGGCTGGATGTCCACTCCGCTTCTGCAGAATGAGCGGTCAGTGTGAGACTCAGTGCTGTAAATCACCTCCTGACTCTGACGTTCTCCAGGATGCTGCGCTTTCACCCGCATCTCTAGAAGCGTCACCTCTTTCTCCTTCAGCTTCCCAGATTTTCCCTTTACCTGTGTGCGCTTTGAGTCCACCCACACCACACGCTCCTTCACAGCTGATCTGAGAACAACCAAGAGTCACCCACAATTCAACACATGGAAGTTTATAAATGAGCAATATTTTATGAGTAGCAATGAGATATGGCTGTATATCAGCACTGGTGGAAGGCGTGCGTTGGCTTGAGGCCGCAGGCTTACTACCTTAGTGTCCCACAAGTCACAATATACAGCCATATTGCACTGCTAGGGGTATGATATTGCATTTATACAACATTTCGACGACATAGTCTTGGGTATAAAAAAGAAAATCAAACATAGAGAGTCTCAAAAATGTCTAAAGTAATAATAAAACAGGTGATTTTACTCACATTTTTAATTTATGAGCTACCTGACAGGTGGACAAATCTAAACTTGTTGTAATCAAACAAATATAAATATGCATATAGTAAATAATACTAATGATAATAATAACATTATACAAAAGTAAGTTGTTGTGATAAACCTGAAAAAAGCCCCTGAGGTGAAAAGGGCATGGAGGTATGGTTTTTATATTCATATAGAAAATAATATATTTTTTTTATATTTAATCCTTTAATTCTTTTTCATTTGTAAAGATAGTTTTGTATTGCTCTACATTAAACAATGTTTAAGCGAGGCGCACAACGAACGCTGGACTTTAGACCTGCTCTCAGCTGGTCTATTAAGCAGTCAATTTTAGAAACATGTCTACAATCTTATCTAGCCCAGAACACCCATGCGTCCACAAAGTGGTGCAAATGGATTTGCTATTTAAACAATTTGGTGGAGGACAGAAAAATTAAGGTTGCGTTGCTCTAAAAATAGCACCATGTTTTGTAAATGCTTATTGCTCCGGGTGTATGATAGGACCCTATAAGGCTGAACGGCATGAAATGCCTTCAGAGATTTCGCAGTAGTTCTCTGTTGCAATTAGGATATCACAATAATTAACCCTGAAAAAGACAGAGCAATGTACACTAGCAGATTAATGTAGAATAAATAAAAAGAGAGAGATCAACTTGTCACTTACCTGTTTTATAATGATTTGATCAGCTGTAGTTTGAAATACGAAAAGAAAATGAGTTTTTCTCCCCAATAAGTTTTTCCCCCTATCCGAAATTATAAACATTTTAAAATGGGCACTATCCTTATAAATAAACTGCATAGTTACAATTTAAACAGCTACACCCTCACCTAAAAAGGCCTTAAAAGTATATTATGTTTTCCAACAGCTGCAATATTTGTCAAACTGTAGTGATTTTGTTCCTCTGCTTGTATCTTTGTGTGTGGGGAATAATACACAAGGGTGAAGATGCTGTACCAGTGCTTTTGGCTATCAGCCAATCAGATTTCAGAACAAGACAGTTGTACAATCGTAAATATCGTTTGCAATTCAAAATGTTCGGTATCTTATTAGAAGCATATTTGATTTTAAAGTACACATGAAATCAAAACTAACCATTTTAAGTTAGCTTACATTGCTAGTTTTGTGGTTAACATACTTAACCACGCCCCTTTCAGCTGTCAGTTTTGACAGTGTTATGACAACAAACAGAAATGGTGAAGAGAAGGTGTCTGTTAGGTTGTAATAACTTCCCCAAACCCTTTTCCGAACTTTGAGAATGAAATGCCAACTTAACTACATGCCAACTTAAATACATCCAATCAGCTCGCAGTAGAAAAAAAACAAGCCATAAACACTGCTTTCTGATATTGGAACTGTCACAATATGAAAAAAAAAAACGGTCACAGCTTCCATTTCATGCAGACTGTAACAATTTAGTTATTGTGAGACTCAAGTCTCCTCTATTTTTGTATATACTTTTAATGAAATCGAAACCCTTATGTCTTTAAAGGATTTAATGATGCCAAACAATCAAAAACTGTGGGCTAATAAAAATTATTCGTAAGAGCCTGTATTACTAGGTTCAGCAGTTATCTTGGAATGTCGTGACTGACCAATCAGAATCGATTAGTCCAGAGAGCTGTACAATGATGTATTACCATGCATGCATAATGAATGCCTTATAATATGTTGTAGCACCTGGTAAATAGTCATGCTGTAACTACAGTAAAACAAGTATTCATAGGAGTTTTAAAGCATGTATAACTTTATATTGTATATGTAAGTCTGATGCCAATAGATTTAATTCCTGACACAACTTGCAATGTCAATGAACTTATTGATGTTACTGTGAGTGTGAGGGGGAGGGTTTTTGGTGGGGATAGGTGTGCACATTAAAAGCATTGCATGTAGCTCAGCTTCGATGAATTCAGAGTATATCCAGAGTTTAGGTGGAAAATGTTCTGATCAGTATTATTACTTGTAATAGTAAATTACGACACGGCACAGTGTAACATTGTTTATAAGGCATTATTCAAGCATTATAATACATTTAGAATATAAAGTGTGTGATCCCTAATCAATTCTCTGTTCCTTATGGAAAAGTGCTAAGAGTTGATGTTTTGCCCTTGGTGTACTTTTAAGATCTAGATATTGTCTCCATGAGCAAATATAACTGTCAGTGCTTCAGATCTTATCAGTGAGGACAATTTTGTTTGGGAGATCATTTAGTTTAAAGAACAAGTTTAAGGTAAAGTATGGTAATGGTAAAAGTTGATGCTACACTGTAAAAAATGAATCTTGAGGCTTGTAAATTTCATTAAAAAAATTTATGTGGTCATTAAAAATAATGTGCATATTTTCTTTAAAAAAAAATATATTCTGGATTAATTATAAAGTATTAAGAAGATTTTGCTAATACAATCAAGAGATAAATTTCACTTATTTTTTTAAGTAAACCAGTGCAATTATTAGGCTTACTTTTAGAAACCAGTTAAGCTAATAAAATTGAGGAAAGATGGATTCACGTTTTTTTTAAAGAAAATTCACTCAATTATGCTGATTTGATTGAGATGTTTGCATTTGAATCTCAACAACGGCAGTGACCAGACGACATTTTGAAGAAGCAGATCAATTATAAGCATGCTAAGCTAAGAGGTAAGCCTTAACAGTTTATCATTTTTATTGTCTTAAATAAGCTCTTTCATGAAAGACACTGCTGTTTAAGCTTGTTCGGGAGCCTAGTTTCTGCCATATGGGTACACGGGTATTTTTAAACACCCATTCCTATTTGAAATTGATTTGCTTTAATGCTCATTCTGAATTGTATATTTAAACTGAACAAATTATGTGCATTGTAATATTTAACAGCTCTGATCAGGCAACATTTAAGCGGGTGGACGAACAACAGTGATCTTGTTGGTTAGCCTAAGCTAAGCTATGTTAGCTATAGCCATTCAATGGGGTTTATGCACAGCTAGTGTTTTTCCATTTCATAAGGTTCCTTTTACAGCATTGATGATGTAATGTTATTAACTATGTTTATATATAATACTGTACAAAAATGCTTATATTTGTTTGATTAATTTTTCAGATTAATGAAGAAAATGTTCATAGTATTTTCCCACAAAAGAGGAGCAGTTTACTCAGGCAGATTCTGATAAAGAGAATGGGTGCCAAACAGCAGGTAATTTATAATGTTATTTGTGTATTATTATGATTATTAATATTAGGCAATTTTACTAATCTCTACACTTTTGTTGCATCAGACCTCACATTAAATCAGGGATAAGACGAGAGAAGCTGTCCTCTGTTGCTGGTCTATTTGTATGAAAAAGTGGAGCAGCTCATTCAGTAGTGCAATGTAAGTGTCTTAAACTAATTTAGATATTTGTGATTTTCAGAAAACTGCATTTTATATTTTTGCATTTTTACAAAAGACAAAAATATAGCTCAGTCACAACATTGTTGAATGCACTATTCTTTGTATAAACTTGGTGATATTTATTTTTTTTAGTATGCATTTTGAAAACACCCTGTCCATTATAAGTCAAAATACTTGTGTACTTGTGTCAGTCAACAATGTCTACTCAAACATTGAGGAATTAATGTTCACAGAGATACAAAGAAATGGTTTATTTCCTTAATGTATTTCCTTAAAGTGTTTTAGTAAATCTTAAATATTTGAAATTTACAATTGCATAGTTTCACAATAATAAACAATGTTTATCTTACAGTGTGGGAATGCACAGAGGATTGCTGTCTGCCAGAGAGATGACCTACAATAAGGATTTCTGCATTGTCTTGGAGGATGAGCGAGTCATGGCTGGCTTGGAAAATCTAGAATTGCTGAACTGGATTTATACAAGTATTCCCCAAATTAAAATCACCCACAAACAAACTTTTAAGAAATTTTATTAACAAACTTTTGTTTCTGACACAAATTCACTGTTACAAACTTTTGGGAAATTGTTACTGCATCGACTGATTGATTTATTGTGTTGCTAATAATTTGAGATACAGCTTTTATACTGGTCTTATATGTTGTTCAATACACAAATTCTGTCAGAGTTTGTCTAAAATGTGATTATTCCTACAAAAGAAAGCTGACAGAATTTTTTTTTCCATTACAGGAATAAAGAACTTTTTTTCAGAGCTTAACGTTGCTGTAACTTTTAAATAGATTTGTTTAACAAATTGTACCATTTTGTTATTAGTGGAACATGTAATAAAATGATTGTTAGCAAAAATGCATTGTGGATGTGTTTTATTATAAACTATATATTTGACATTTTATGAATGAGTTATTTTCATTAATACATTTGAGTAAATGGTGGTTGATTTGCTTAAATTATAAAAGCACATTCCACTAATAATATTGAAATCATCATCTATCACTCAAAAAACCTAGTCATTTTCACATGATTCAATCAAGTAGTTTTTGCTAAAAAAATTAATGTGAGTAAATGGTGGTGGATTTGCTTAAATTATAAAAGCACATTCCACTAATAATATTAAAATCATCATCTATCACTCAAAAGATTTTGTAATTTTCACATGATTCATTCAAGTGGTTTTTGCTAAAAAAAATCACGTTTTTAAACTACCTAAAAATATTACGTGCAATAGTGTTACCACACTTTTTTTTGTAAATAGCACGTAAGATTTTTTACAGTGTAGATAAAACTTACACAATTAGAAAATGAGTACTCAAGATTTTTATAATAAAAAGAAATGAAATATTTCCAAACCAAACATTTTGTTTACACAATACATGGTGTAAACAAAATGCACTGATTAAATAGGAAACGAGATGTCTTTTTTACCTTTAATAAAAGTAGTATATTGTTATAGAATGTAACATCTTCCACAACAAAATAATTCAAATAATAACTAACCCTAACCCCTAAAACCCTTTGAAAGGAATAATGAGCCAAATAGAAAAGCAGATGTATGTTTGAACTCACTCATCAATCCCCAGGTCAGCAAGTGTGGTGTTCAGGAAGGGGAATGCCTGCTCGTGGTTCAGAACTGCAATGGGCAGGTGCACAACCATGGGAACTGTCCAGTCCAGATCGGCTCGTTTCATTTTGTCATTGATGATGGAATTTAATGGGACATCGCCGTTCATCTGCTTCTCTTGGGACTCAACCCCATGCTGGACCTCTGGGTGTTTTTCCAGTCCTGCCAGCTTGCGTTGCTGCTCAGTATTGTCTTTTCTTTCGTCTATAATCATTGAGTCAATTCCTCTGATTTTCTCTCCGGGTGAAATAATAAGTCTGACTGCTGTCTACAAGTCAGACTTGAGATTCAGTGGGATCAGATGGAGACGGAAGCTCTGTTGGGTTTGTTGAGGTGATAATCTGGGAGTTTGCAGAAGTGCAGTGCAGATTTAAATGGTCTGTGTGAATGTGTGTAATGTGTCACTGAAGTGTGAGGTTTATTAGTCTGTCAGAGGCTGACAAATTACTGTATGGAGAGTTGTTTATATTATTAAATCATCTTTTCCTATCCCTATGCTTTTTAAGTTTAGGCTGTGATCCAGTTAACCCTCTAACTACCTCTGTTATGCTTGTTTGACGCCTTCCACAGTTACTAAAGATATGTCAGCTACATCTGTAGGTACATTATTTTTTCCTGAAACTAGAATGATACAATATACTTTTACTGTTTGTTCAAAGTACTTATTTCAAATGAGTTGAAACAACACATTTTTTGTGTTCTTTTTTATGTTCTATTCACTTCAGTTTGTAAAAACAATATTCGTGTTGGGGCAACAAGAGGAAATCGTGTGGAACCCAGCATTTTTAGTATATAGTTGTATCATTTACAACATCAGTTCTCAAACCTATTTTATCAAGTACCACCTCAGAAAAAATTGTCTCTCCAAGTACCACCATAATGACCAGTATTAAAATACAGTAGCGTAGTTGGCCCAGTAAAGCAGCTACAGGTCTGCACAGTTCAAAAACTTGGCAGATTAATTTCTGTTATTAAGAATATGTATTGTTGTCAACCACTTTAAATATTATAAATAGTCTAAACATAAACACTACTGTGCTAATAGGTAAAAAACAAACAACAACAAAAAACTAAAAACGTCAACATTAAAATTAAAATGTGCTTTTTAAAGTTAAAAATGGTAGGTTACTGTTCTTTAAAAGTAAAAAAATAAATAAATAAAAAAGAAAGAAACCTGCTTTACTTAAATGTAAAGTATTAACATATAAATGTAAAGTATTAACATAGAGTAGACAATTCATCAACACCTGGAAATGTTGCCTGGACCTCAGAAATATAGGCTATATGTTATCATATTCATATAAATAATATTTGATCAATTTTAAAATATATATAGCATGGATGACATATCTGATTCCTTCGCGTACCACTAGTAGCACATGTACCACAGTTTGAAGTTTGTAGCACCTATGATGAAAATCCACTTTTGTAATCTGCTTGGGCAGAACTGTCTGTACAGTGTGTCATATTGGAGTGATATAAACACGAAATATATATATATAAAAAATAGGTGGGCTAATAACTCTGACTTCAACTTTATATGCACTCATAATGTTTTTATAAAGTACTTGTTGCACAAAAAGTACTCTTTTTATTACTAATCAAGTGTGTGATACACATATAAAGTATAAGGCTTATACTTAAAGTATACTAAGTATACTTGAAGTTGTTTTAATTTAGCACATAAAACTACACCAAATACACTAAAGGTAAAAAGTGACTATAATTTAATTAAGATTAAAATATACTTAGGGGCGAAGCAGTGGCGCAGTAGGTTGTGCTGTTGCCAGTGCTTGTTGAGTTTGCATGTTCTCCCTGTGAACGCGTGGGTTTCCTCCGGGTGCTCCGGTTTCCCCCACAGTCCAAAGACATGCGGTACAGGTGAATTGGGTAGGGTAAATTGTCCGTAGTTTATGAGTGTGTGTGAATGAGTGCTTGTGGAAGTTTCTCAGAGATGGGTTGCGGCTGGAAGGGCATCCGCTGCGTAAAAATGTGCTGGATTAGTCGGCGATTCATTCCACTGTGGCAACCTCAGATTTATAAAGGGACTAAGCCGACAAGAAAATGAATGAATGAATATACTTAGTACAAATGTAGTTTTTCCAAAATGAGATTAGTTAAAGTGAACTAAACATGAAGACGTTTGAAGTAGGTCTGCAGTGACAATTAGTCTAGCTGCATTAATACCTACAGTAACATTTGTTTTTCACAATAAAAAAAACTATTGAAACACATTCCTGTGTGCACATTTAGACAAATCAATAACACTTAAGTATTTTAAGATCTGTCACTCAAGATATTTCAGTTTAAACAGCTCAAATATGCAATTTAGCTTAAAACTAGCCTTAAGCCTCATCTCTGAAAACAAGGGAGCATGTAATTTATGTGGAAAAAAATGAATAGACTACTCAATAAAAACAGTAAAAACAACTACCTCCAAGTATACTTGGAATATGTAATGATACTTTTTAATTATGTCGGTGAACAAGTATAGGCCACATTTACTAAACCTTTTCTGTTCGTTATACTTACATGCTACATGAATATAAATTATACTAACTGCTATATTAATTCTGAGAAGTACATGAATTATGTTTTAGTGGATTACATAAAAAGTACTTGTAGTACAGATGCAAATAAGACTTAATTATTTAATGATAATTGAAGCTGTCATGCACATTTTCCATCATTCAATTGGTTTCTATTAGTGTATTTGCATTGACTTTGTGTGTAGTCTACTTGTTCGAATACTTAAAGATTAATTCATTTTTCTTAGTCTTACTCCCTTTGTTCATCAGGGGTCACCACAGCTGAGTGGACCCCCAACTTATCCAGCATATGTTTTACACACAGCATGGCCTACCTGCTGCAACCCAGTACAGCCTTGTTTGTTTTGAATACGAGCTCTTTAGTGGCAAATTATATACTATCTTTACATTTTAGTTTGGTGTGAAACTAGCATATGATTAAACAGCGAGCTAATCAAACTGTAAAACTAAAGCATTTCACTTAATATAAAATTAAATCCCATGATTTTTCACTCAGTCATGGCGTCATCAAAGTATGCCTTAGTTGGTTTTGAATGTGCGCTCTCTAGTGATGAAAATTACATACTGTCTTTACATTTTAATTTGGTGTGAAACTAGCATACGATCAAACAGCGAACTTATCAAACAGTAAGACAAACCTTCCTCTAAATATGAATAGATATTAAATGAATGTAATATTTTTAACACAATTTATTAAAATTAAACAGGTATTAAATATTGAATAACTGTTTTGAAAAAGGTCAGTAGTGGCTTTTCCATTGATTGGCTTCTCTGTTAGGAAAACAATTTACCTCGATGATCCTGACATCACTATTTTCTAAGCATGCTGTTTTGCTTTCTGACAGGTGATTACTTGAACTGATCGATTTACTGTGCACTTGCAGCAAAGTGCCACATTTGAATGCCGTCAGAAAACATGTCACCTCGTAACTCGGGGTGTTTACAGTCGTGTGGCCTGTGTGACAGTTACGCTGGATCTCTACGTTCCCCTGCTCCTTTAGCGCGGCCTCTGAACTTCTGTCCGATTGTTTCCAGTAAGCTGATCAGGATACGCAACATTCCAGTATGCTGTGCTAAAATAGTAAATACTGCCTTAAAATGTCATTGTCCGTCCAATCATTGACTATGCTACATCTCTTTAAGCAAACTACATACTGTATCAGATTTTTAATTTCAGTATGTAGCCAAACGTGACAGGTAAACATCGGATCCAGCTTTGCTCGATGATCAGCAGGCTAGATATTGACTAATTCCTCACAGAGCATCTGAAATGTCCAGCATCTGTGCTATGGGGTGGGATAGTGGTTGTCTGAGGACGGTGTGAAGCCGTTCATAGTTTTACCGTGACTCTTCATCTGTATGCTAACTATTGCTTACCCTTATATGTCTGTTCTGCAAACATCATTCTTTGAATTTTGTAATCAGCACATTACAGGGGTTGGCATGGGCTTTTATTGTGCCCAGCTGGTCTGTCGGTGTTGCTAGGTGGTGTTACATTTGTGAAATCTGCTTGACGGCTCTAGATTAACAGTGTGAGGTCAGGCAGGCATGAGATCATGACCTGTGCAGTCACTGTCAACAAGGCACAACAAAGGGATTTCTGCTGGGATGGCTCACTGACACTGGTCCAACACTGCCCTCTGTGAACTGATAGGGGTATTTGAATTTAAATTTCCTCACACTTGATAATATACAGTTATTTTACTGACCCTCAAGCCATTAAAGATATTGGTGACTTTTCTCAGCAGTAGAACATTAAAGATTATATAAGTTCCTGACGATACTGAGGTCTTTCGAAGGGGAACGATTGGTCAGTGCAAGAAACTGAATATCATTTACAGCATAGTAAAGGGTAATCAATGGATCAGTGTATGTTAAATTATGGATAAAGTACATCTAGGAGGTTGTTATCTCAGAATAAACCCAGACTTATTGGCAGCCTGACACAAAGTGAAGGATGATTGTATTTACCTTATTCTTATACATATCCGTTGATATTTAGATGTTAAAAGCAGCTTGTTCTGCTTATTCATGTTGTAAACTGATATTTTCTTATGTTATTCTATTCTTTATGTATAGTCAAGAACACATTTGTTTGTAGAGCAAGTAGTCTGATCGTTTTCTGCTGTTTATTATCCATAGTCATTCCTCCCATAGGCAACTAAATAGGTTTTAAAACAGTAACAAAAATGAGCACACCTCCGCATTGCAGAAAGATGTCAATAGGACTGAAGGGCTTTATTTTGCAAAAACAACCATCCTGGATGTACTTTATCCTTCTTATTACAAGGCCACTTGCTGCAATACAAACAAATGCTACAAAAAACATTTTTCTAAGCCATGATATTTTACTAATTATTTACTTAAACTAAGTTAACAGAAATTAAAAGAGTTGATAGTGCATTAATCAGTCACACGATGACACCAAACTGTCAAAAATTCAAAGCTGAATCTAAGCTGGCTAGAACAAGACAGTACCAAACAGTCAAATCCATAGCGTGACTGTCAAGGAGATACACATGAAAAAAAACTCTGCATTTCGCTTTGCAGTTGTCTGTGGTCTTTCACTGAATTGTTAAGTGCAAAGATTAGTGTCAAACAGCCGTGTGCGTATAAATCATACACTACGATAATAATTTGGTTAAGGTGTTTACATGTCTGTACTGCACTTCAATAATGCGACTAAAATCGACATACTCCACATCTTAATTCCATTTGTTTAGTTTGATTATGACCTTAATAGGATTAATCATAAATTGCTGTTTATATGGTAGACTCTTAATCAGAGTATTGACTTAAGCGTATTAAATTCAAGATATTATTGGTGTCCATGTAAACATACTCACTGACAGTCAAGGTGATTCGAAGTTTCTGGATGAACCTGTGTTATTTAGCGATTGTTATTTTGGAATAACATACCTTGGAATGTTGTGAGTGACTGACTAATCAGAATTAAGTTTTCCAGACAGCCATGTAATGAGTAAAGGATAAAGCACATCCAGGCAGTTCATAGTTTAGAGACATTGGCTGTTGTATAAGACTGAAGAACTTTATTCTGCGAAATCAACAGCCTGGATGTACTCTATTCTGTTTATTTGATGGATACGTGCGACTAAATGTAACAAATTTGACTAAATATTGTTCTGAGTCATAATAGTTTATTAAACCTTTAATTAAAGGCAAAGCTGACAGAAAACAAAATGGCTGAATGGAGCATACACTAATCTACATATTATTTATTCACATAATGGCACCAACATTGGAAGGTATAATGTTGCAGAGCTGGGTGTACTTCAGAAAGGATCTAGTGTACTCAGACATGGTGCAGAACAAATCTACTATGTTTTTCATGCCCATGACGGGAATCAGCATTTTGAAGGGAATATTGTGAAGTGAATTTGACAAGCAAATGAAGCGAAAATGACCTGCGAATGAAGTGAGTTAACTCAAAATGTTTACACGTCTATCTACATGTGAATAGGGCGATTTATTCACGCATGCCGCTTCTGGTGTGAACATCCCATAAGACTTATTTCTGCTTGTACTTTATGCTGCTTTTCAGCTACTTCCCACAAAATGTACAATTTAATCACAAAACATTGTTCTGAGTCAGAATAAGTTATTCTTTAATTAGGGGTGAAGCTGACAGAAATTAAAATGGCTGATTGGAACATACACTAACCTTTGTATTATTCAGTCAAGTTGCTGATTTGAAGAACATAAATAAGTCTGTGTTATTCAGCAATTATCTCGAAATAATATACATTGGAATGTTGCGACTGACCAATCAGAATTAAGAATTCCAGATGGCTGTGTAATTAAAGCTAATAATATTGTAAATAATATTCAATTTCTTGCACAGATTGATTGTTCCGCTTGATAAAACCTTTGTGCATTACCAGGAAACACAGGCATTCAATTGGATTTGTTTGTATGTTTAATTCTAATCTCAGAATCATGAGACCATTGACTTGCAATAAAAAAGAAAACAGAATATGCACACAAACAGTAATTATATTGATGCAATAAAATTTTAATAGCAATTTTTATTGAGAAAAGTTCAACATATTTTCTTCATAACTTAAGAACAGCTAAAAAATGTATTTAAAAGACCATGACAAACATGTATTAAGTAATTAAATAGATAAAAATGTTAAACAAGTTCATATTTATAAACATGTATACATAGAATAAAAAAGAACATTAAACTTCATAAAAGGTCAAAACATCTTTAAAATTATTGTAATATAAACTCGTTAATGCTAAAACTTCATCTGCAAAATCATCTACAATAAAATATAAAATAACAATTATTCATAATTTGAAAATATTATGTATGAGTGTATTTCTGTTAGGTAGAACAAAAGACAACAAACTGCATTTAAACTGACCTCTGAACTGACTTCATATGTTTCAGCATAAAGCGTACACATAAACAATCCAACAGGGTGAACTTGCTTGGGGGAATCTATTTTTGCAGTTGGCTGTGTGTGTTTAGCGCTCTGTGGTAAAGGTGATGACTCCAAACGCTTCAGTCTGATGGGCACTTAACTTTAGATCACAGAGCAGCTCTGTAAAACAAACAGATTAAGGATCACATCACATACATACCTCAAGACAGTAGCAAAGCAAACACCTATGGATCTAGATTAGTCTCAATAGTAATTCACACAATTTTTTTTACTTTCCAGGCAACGCATTCCTCTCACACAGATCACGCGTGTACCTTTTAGCCAATCAGATGAGAACTTACTGTTTAACCAATCATAGAGTGCTGAGAGTGCTGTATCTAGTCACTCCCTTTTTTTCAATCTCCAATTAAATAACAGGAAAAACTTGAGCATGCAAAAGATGTGAACTAGGGCTACTTAATTATGGTAAAAATCATAATCACGATTATTCAAAAATGAGATAAAAAATTATGTAAATGAGGTTGTTATCACACTGTTAAAACTTGTTTATTACATAAAAAATGAGGATTACTGTGATTAAACACAAAACGATACTTTTTTTTTAACATCTTAAGTCAGTGTCCGACCCAGTCCAACACATTAAATGTAATTATGAGCCCTAGCCCAATTTAAACCTGACCCGTTATAACAGAAGTTCTTAACTACAATTCTGAGGTATTTGAACTACAGAAATTACTTTAAATTTATCTTACTGAATGATGCAACAAGGACAAAGCATGTAAATAGCATTGTTTGTTTATTGAGAATGGATCGTAACAAAAAGGATGTTAAAGACTGACTATCATCCTTTCTGCCATGGCTAGCCTGCTTCATGTGTCTGTTTATCGTGGAAATCCCCACTATCATTATGCCGCTTTTATACCGCACACGCGAGCAGAGCGTGTTTTTTCCATGTCCATGTTAACAGATTAGTGCTTTTATACGGCACACACAAGCAGCGGGTCAGTGAAGAGCGCGCAGAGAGCTAAAAAGATGAAAGATGAAAGATGTTTTGCACAAATTTAAACTTTTAAAATATTTATATATTTGTAAATGGTGTTTTGTGTTAGTGAAAAACATTTTATGAATATGTATTTTTATTTTTGTGCATCTGAATTGTTTTTGTGTGTGTATATATATATATATATATATATATATATATATATATATATATATATATATATTGTGCACATGAACTTAGTTTCATGCATGTGTGTACATTCTGTTTTTTTGCGTGAATTGTTACTGAAACTAATCTAGATCCCTAAAGACCTGCCCAGTGTCTTCATATCTTACCCAGTATCTGGTAGAACAGATGAGCTACAGTGCTGCGGTCAGCCTCTGGGGGCAGCAGTGAGTGAAAGCCGACCTTACCACGGCACTCGATGAAGCCAGTGATCAGTCTGTAAGACAGAAAGAAAGATTGACGATGACCTGACAATACATGGACACAAAGATATGTTCAGCCCTCAAAGGTCCTTAAAGAGAAAGAGATCTTCAAACTGCATGGCATTCATAGAGCACTAAAGCCGTGCAGTTAAAGGCATAATTTATCCAAAAATGAAAATGTATTGGTTATTTACTCTCCCTTGATTGGTTTCAATCCTTTATCAGTTTCTTTTTTCTGCTAAATTTAAAAGAAGGCATTTTGAAGAAAGCTGGAAACCTATACCACTAATTATGTATGAATACATTTGCAAAATAAAATACTATGGAAGTCAAAGGTAACAGGTTTCCAGCTCTCTTCAAAATGTCTCCTTTTGTGTTCAACAGATTCAACAGGTTTGTGACAAGTGAAGGGTCAGTAAATGATGATAGAATTTTCAGATTTGTGTGAACTATCCCTTTAAGCAGTCCATTATGTGATATGATAGTTTGTAAAGAAATATTAGTTTAGACTAATAAAAAACGGGTTGATGTAAATAGTTTTTACACTATCAATGAATCTGTTGCATTATCCATGGAGTTTGTACCATCTACATGTGTATTTATGACTTTTTAATCTTAAACACTTAAGAAATGTAATTTTGGTAATAGTAAGTAATACATTTGTGTAAAAAGTCAATGATTGTAATATGTTGATGTAGTTTTATTATGGACACATGAATCACTTGTTTTTTTCTGGATGCTTCCACTGTCGTGCATGTCATTTTCATTTTGTACAAATGTAAATCAACTTATCAAAGGATCACGTATAATGACTCAAAGGGATAGTTCACCAAAAAATAATAAAAATATACAAATTTTTTAGACATCTTCAGGTGGTTCCAAACCATCCTTTTCTGTTAAACCAAAATGAGTTGAAAACCAGCAGACATTGACATCCATAACATAAAACATGAAAGTGAAAGTGAAAATGAAGTGAAAGGCAATGGCTTTCCAAACGGTTTCCAACATTCTAACAAATAGACATGCACTTTTCAACACTGCCAGCTGTGGTTTCTCCAGGCAAATACACTATGGTACACTCCTGTCCTGTAGACCAGGAATGTCAAACTCAATTCCAGGAGGGCTGCAGGCCTGCACAGTTTAGTTCCAACTCTGCTCCAACACGCTTACCTGTAAGTTTCAAATAAGCCTGAAGGACTCAATTAGTTTGATCAGGTGTGTTTAATTAGGGCTGGAACTAAATTGTGCAAAGCTGCGGCCCTCCACGAGTTTGACACCTGTGCTGTAGACTCTCATCTGATCCCATCCCACACTATCTACACTCCTAAAGCAGAATACATTGCCAGTGGAAAACATGTTGCGCAGTGCCTGCTTGGACACCAGGTATGACGGTACTCTGATTGACGATTAAATGAACAGTTCATACAAAAATGAAAGTTCACTCTCACTTGAGTTGTTCCAAACATGTCTGAATTTCTTTTGAAGAATGTTGGCAACAAGATGTCATAATAGTGCCTTCAACAGAACAAAAGAAAAAAAAACACTAAATAAGTTTAGAATAAGTGGAGGGAGAGAAAATGAGAGAATTTTTATTTTTGGGTAAACCATCTCTTTAACATGACATGTATTATTTTTACAGTGTGTGGCAAAATTGTGGTGTTTTGGTTTCAGAATATACAAATACCACTAAACCCAACACTAGCCTGAAGCTTACATTTTATTTAAGACATATTGAACTACAAGTAAGAAACAGCATTTAATAAACACACTTTAAGTTGGAGAAAGTTAATAGTGAAATCCCTGCCCCTTAGGCATGCACAACCTGTTTTGTAGATCTCTGATATGCTTTTACATCTGCTTGGCCTCAATTCACCTGAATAAGTCCTCGGTGATGATGTCACTCATCTCAAGCTCCGCCTCTCCCAGGGGCAGATCAACGTGCTCTTCTAATATAACCTCCATAGAAACAGGAGCCTCTTCAATCGGAGACCTACAGTACATACACAACATTTATTTCACAGGATTCGAGACTAAATTTCACCAACAGTATTTTTGTCAGTCCTTCTGGGATTTCGCTAAAAAATCAGATTTGTGCAACTAAAATGGTATTAAAAATCACACATATTAAGGCATTTTTTTTATTGTTTCCCTGCAAAGTAACATTGTTTACCATTAAAGCCTATGTCTATGTTAATTGGTCGCTATTTGACAACGTTGGAAATAATGCAGATTGTGCTAGTGTGTCAAAGAGAGAGAGAAGGCTACACCTGTGACGGCAGATGCATATGTACAATATTAAAGTATAGTGATTGATACAACTCATGTGGACTAGTTCAAACAGGATTTGAATGCGTGTTAAGATATTGTGGATCACATACTGGATGAAGAGCATATATTTGCATCCAAAAGGCTTTGTTTTTGAAAGTAAAACTATGCAGAAGGTGCAGTGGGTATTTGAAGATTCTTTTGATTGCCCAAAATATGCAGAAAATCTGTGACAATTGAAAAAACCTTTGAGCTCACAGTGTTTTGCGACCTATGTTTGAGTTTGTGCTACATTTCATGATCATGAAATCCTGGAGAGCCTGTTTTGTTACAATGTGAAGTAAAACTGTACAGTTAAAGTCAAAATAATTAGCTACTTACTACTGTTAGGTACTGTTACTTTTTTTTTCTTTTTCAAATGTTTCCCAAATGATAAACAGTAAAGTTAAAATTCATGGCTCTCGAAAAAAGTGAAACAAATGTTTTAAAAGCCTTTACTAACATGGCTATTTCATTAAAACTGCACCAACAAATAATGTTGCCATTACCCAAATAGCACAGACACATTTATTAGCGCTAAAGCAATTATTGTTTGAATTTGTTTGTACTAAGTGAAGTTTGTTTCTAAACTAATTTCGAGAGGATCACATGCATATGATTGACAACAGCTGGTCCTGCATTAGTAACGTAAAATTCACTAATCGGATGATTAGATTAATAAATTACCAGAGTTACTAATGTCTAGTACATATTATGTACTGTCATCATGACAAAGATAAAGAACTATTGGAAATTAGTTATTAAAGCTATTATGTTAAGAAATGTGTTATCTGTCTTTTAAACAGAAATTGGGGAAAATTATAGGGCTAATAATTCTGTATGTCGTACAACTGCAGTCCAGAATATAACACATGCTCTGACATTCAGTGTTTTGTAAATGCCTCTAATTTTCTTTTCTTTTTTTTTTTTTTTTTGGGATTTTTCCTTTTTGATATTTCTTACCATCTGCTGTTGGGAGTGATGAGGTCACTCGGAGACCTGTCTCCTTTAGACACATCCAGAGGCACGTCTGAAGCAGCTGGACAAACACACACATGGTTTAATTTGATTGACATTTTGAGCAAAGAAGTAAAAAAAGTACTTGGACACTTTTTGAGCCAGATTTACAAACAGCTTGCATCAGCGCAACCTTCTTTTAGCATTAAAAAACTGCTGTCAGGGTTTATTAAAAATGTGCAATGAAAAACTAGCAATACAAAGACATAGACGGTTAAGTTTTTGGCTTACCTTTTTGCATTAGCATTTGTTTACAAGCACCATTTAAGGGAGTAGAGTATTTGAATGAATCCCGCAAAGTCATTCACTATGGTTTGTGGTTGTTGGTTCACTGTATTTGAATCATTATTTAACACTATACACAAACATGTCATAACACATTTTGCAATTAACAAGCTACAAATAGTGGAAGACGAACAGCGGTGAACAGAGAAAGTGTGGTAGAAAGGACACAATTTCTCCTTTGGTGTTCAATGATTTTGAATGCCAGAAGAAGATTATCTGAAGGTACTTATTAGTGAGCTCCATTATTTTTCATACACGCTGCTCCTAGTAGATAGTGTTGGTGATTATGGAAATGAGCTGCTGTGCTGTTCTTTAATTTGCACATTGCCAGTGGATCACACAGACTGTCAGTCGATCTCCCACTGCAATCTGCGCATTTATAACATTGTGATCTCCAACTGATTTGGCATGTTGAGTAAATCTGACCTTGCATGTCTTATACATATAACAATAATAATTAGGGATGGGTATCATTCAACAGTTTTTGATAAATTACCAATACTTTGATTTAATAATATGCAGATAACAATTTGATAAACATGTATATTAACAAGATTACATTATACATTATTTAGTTGGGACACTTTACAATAAGGTTGGATTATTTAATGTTAAATAATGAATTTACTAACATGAACAAACAATGAACAATACATTTATTATAGTATTTTTTTATGTTAGTTAACATTAGTTCATGAAAATAAAGTTGTTCATTGTTAGTTCATGTTAACTCATGGTGCATTAACGAATGTTAGCAAGCATACATTTGAATGTTAATAATCTATGGGTAAATGTTGAAGTATGTATATTAATAAATGTTGTACATTAATAAATGCTGTACAAGCGTTGCTCATTATTAGCTTTATTTAGTAAATACATTCACAAATGAAATCCTATTTTAATGTGTGACCCTGGGCGTCACGGTGGCGCAGTGGGTTGCACAATCGCCTCAAAGCATATATATATGTATATATATATATATATATATATATATATATATATATATATATATTATATATATATATATATATATATATATATATATATATATACTGTATATAAAGCATATACATATACTGGTTTGAGCCCCGGCTGGATCAGTTGGCATTTCTGTGTGGAGTCTCCCCATGTTTGCTTGGGTTTCCTACGGGTGCTCCGGTTTCCCCCACAAGTCCACAGACATGGGGTATAATTTGCCATAGTGTATGTGTGAATGCAAGAGTGTGTGGGTGTTTCCCAGTGTTGGGTTTTAGCTGGAAGGGCATCCGTTGCGTAAAATATATGCTGGATAAGCTGGTGTTTCATTCTGCTATTGTGACCCCTGATTAAGGGACTAAGCTTAAAAGAAAGCGAATGAATGAATGAAGTTGGACACTTTATTTTTTGTTCTGTTTCAGAATGAGTCCATCATGAGTGAAGATAAATTTGTGAAGCGCAAAGCAAAATAGCTTTTTCTACTTAGTTGATATTTTTTCATTTATTTTTTTTCAGAGGATTTTTTTGCATTTATCAATGTATATATATTTTTGCTTGTTTTTGCAAAGTTTTGCTTTAAAATCATGAAAAAATGTAGTATAAAAATGATATAATCTCAAGTCTAATCCCATAAACCCAGTCCTAACAATGAATGAATGAATGAATAAATAAAAAAAAATAAAAAAATAAATAAATAACATTTTATCTGTCACCTGAGCTCTCAGACAGAACCAGAGCAGCCTCAGATTCCCTGATCACCTAAACATTCATAAAACACACACAAAAAAAGTTTATTAGGTTTAATTCACATATAAACACATACACTCACTGGACACTTTATTACCATTACCAGTACAGTGTTGGACCCTCTTTTGTCGTCAGAACTGCCTTAATCCTTCGTGGCATAGATTCAACAAGTACTGTAAATACTCCTCAGAGATTCTGGTCCATGTTGACATGATAGCATAACGCAGTTGCTGCAGATTTGTCGGCTGCACATCCATGATGCAAATCTCTTGTTCCACCACATCCCAAACATGCTCAATTGGATTGGAATCTGGTGATTGTGGGGGCCATTTGGGTACAGTGTTCCCGCTTTATAACATGGTGCGTTATAATGCTGGAAGTAGCCATCAGAAGATGGGTACTCTGTGGTCATAAAGGGATGGACAAGGTGTAACAATACTCAGGTAGCCTGTGGTGTTGACATGATGCTCAGTTAGTCTAATGGGCCCAAAGTGTGCCAGAAAAATATCCCCCACACCATTACACCACCAGTACCAGCCTAAACCGTTGATACAAGGCAGGATGGATCCATGCTTTCATAATGTTGATGCAAAATTCTGACCCTACCATCTGAATGTTGCAGCAGAAATCGAGACTCATCAGACCAGGCGATGTTTCTCCAATCTTCTATTGTCCAATTATGGTGAGCCTGTGCGAATTGTAGCCTTAGTTTCCTGTTCTTAGCTGACAGGAGTAACACCCGGTGTGGTCTTCCACTACTGTAACCAATCTGCCTCAAGGTTCGATATGTTGTGCGTTCAGACATGTGCTTCTGTATACCTCTGTTGTAACAAGTGGTTATCTGAGTTACTGTTGCCATTTATCAGCTCGAACCAGTCTGGCCATTTTTCTCAGGCATCAACAAAGCATTTGCGCCCACAGAACTGTTGCTGACTGGATATTTTCTTTTTTTCAGATCATTCTCAGTCAGATCATTCTCAACCCTAGAGATGGTTGTGCATGAAAATCCCAGTAGATCAGCAGTTTCTGAAATACCTAGACCAGCCTGTCTGGCACCAACTACCATGCCACATTCAAAGTCACTTAAATCCCCTTTCTTCCGATGCTCTGTTTGAACTGCACAAGATCATCTTGACCATGTCTACCTGCCTAAATCATTGAGTTGCTGCCATGTGATTGGCTTATTAGAAATTTTGCATTAACAAGCAGCTGGACAAGTGTATTTAATAAAGCCGCCAGTGAGTGTATATAAGGGTGCATCACATAAACAGAAGCTTGCATTTGTGTAAATTGCAATAAAAAGCCTAAATTTTAATATTAAATTTTATCATTGAATATAATAATGTTTAAAGTGTACTGCGGTATGTATTGACAAGCTTTTTGGTAAACTGACACATACTTGAATTTTAGTTCTACTGAAAATTGCATGTCATGTATGTAAATATATTTGCATTCATGTATTACATTACAATGTATTACATTTCATATCAGTTTTAAATGTATAGATTTAAAATTGAGATTATTACCAAGCACACTTTCTAAAAGGCACAATTATTTCATCAAAATTGAAATGTTATTTATATAAAAAAAGTGTTTCAAATATATGCTTTAAGATTTGAAGAAAATTCCAAGTGCACTTCATTTTTGCATCGGCATTAAAAGGATCCTTCTCCCTAATAAATAATATCCTGTCATCATTTATATGCCTTCACATCATTCCAGACCTGTGCTGGTGTGGATAAGCACATTATCATTTATCACAATTAAACAATAATGAGAATCACATTTTGGAGCAAACTAATCCTATAAATGCCAATAGTGTACATGCTAATAAAATGTGCATGACTGATTTTAACCTTGAACTCCTTGAGCTCAATAAATCAATGCTCTGGCTCTGACATGATCAGATAAGCAACTTCTTCACCTCTCTGCTAGACTCCCGACTTCTCTCCACTCCTCTTTCTTTCTCCCTCTCCATCAGCTCACTCTCCTTCTTTGCCTGTCGCTTCCTGGAGGGACGAGAGAGTGTAGAAGAAACACTGCAGGATTTCCACAGAGTCTGGAGGTCAGGGTGGATGAGCACTGCAATGCAAAGACACATTAAAATCGTTATACGAATGGAGTGTGCTGGTGTTTCTGACTCTTGATAAAAACTGCTGAGCCCTTTGATGCACCAGTGGTTTCATTATTACAATCTACTATAAGAAATGTTCACTGCAACTCAAAGGAGCTGATGCATTAGTTTACCCTCTTTATTTATGTATGTATATATATATATATATATATATATTTATATTGTTACGAATTAAATAAAAAATCCTTAATCAAAAAGAGATTTAACCAAAAGTAACAAAATAACAGGGATTAAAAATATAATCCCTGGTGCCCCCGCGCTCTCACTCCCCAAAATATATACCAAAAACACAACCACTGATAATTAACAAGAAAATATGATTTATTTACAGAAATAAGGAGCAAAAATAACATCAGGAGAGGTTTAGCCAAAATAAATGACAATAAACCAAGCTAACTAAATTAGATTAAACTTCCCTAGAAATCAAATAAAATAAAATACAGAAAACATACCTCCCTACTAACGACCACAGGAGAAAAGGAAAATAACAAATAAGGCACCTAACCTCCCTGCATGCTCCAAGCCCGACAGGGAGACAGAAAACTGGGCTTCAATCACCAGTTAAAAATTATCAACAACACATCGGCATCTCACATAATGCCACAAAGCGATAGAAGCAAACACTCATTTGATCGCTAGTATCCACTGAGCACAAACGGGGAATCGAGAGAGAGCGGGGAGCCATCGAACCCATGTTCTCTGCAGGTTTTTATAGCCGCCGCCAATCCAAGCGCCAATTATGATCCGTCCCACCGTAATCCACTGCACCTGCGAATACTTAGAGCGAGAGAAAGAGAGAGAGCGAGAGAGAAAGAGAAACACCACACACAAGCCTACACTACACTACTCGTAACACCTCCCCACCAAAAAGATGGAAACAAGCAGTTTGTATCTACCCACCTAACTTAAACCTCAACTTCAGCACCATGACCTCTGGACAGCGCATCCGCAACCACATTTTGCGAACCTTTCTTATGCCCTATATCCAAATTAAATTTGGACTTTGGACTTCCAAAGACCATCGCATTAATCGCTGGTTTGAATTGCGCATCCTATCCAAAAAAACAAGAGGATTACACAAATTGGAAACGTACTTCCACCCAAATAAATCTCAAAATGTTGCAACGCTAAATGTAGTGCTAAAGCCTCCTTCTCGATCGTACTATATCTGCGTTGACATGCTGTAAATTTTTTTGAGAAGTATCACACTGGATGATCAATATTTCCTGAATTAGAACAGCTCCAGCTGTTCAAAGTCCGGTGCTGAAAGAATAAGAGCATTACACAGCAAATCTTTTGCTGCTCGAAAAGCCTGATCACATGCAGCAGACCACACAAAAACTCTTTCGGTGCTCAGAAGATCAGTTAGTGGAGACACAACACTAGCAAAGTTACGGCAGAATCCTCTGTAGTATCCTGACATACCCAAAAATCTACACAACTCTCTTTTATTCCCTGGCATTGGGAATTCCACAATAGACGCAATTTTTGCATCAACTGGACACACATGTCCCTGACCTACCTTTTTTCCTAGGTACACTACTGTGGCCTTGGCGAATTCACTTAGCTAGATTTAAAGTTAGAGAGGCATTAACCAAACGTGCAAACACTTCACTTAAAGAAACCATATGCTCCTCCCAGCTAGAAGAATAGATCACAATATCGTCGAGATAAGCTTCGCATTTCTCAACACTTCTTAATACGATGCGCATTAATCGCTGAAAGGTTGACGGTGCGTTGCGCATCCCGAAAGCCATTACGGAGTACTGCATAAAATCGTCAGGGGTCACAAAAGCTGAAATTTCCGAGGCTTGTGACGTAAGTGGAATTTGCCAATACCCTTTAAGAAGATCTAATTTTGTCACGAACCTGGCAGGACCGACTCGATCTATGCAGTCTTCCATACGTGGCAATAGGAATGAATCGGGCTTCGTAACTGCATTGACTTTCCGATAGTCAGTGCAGAAACGAACCTGCACTACACTACTCGTAACAATATATATATATATATATATATATATATATATATATTATAAACAAATAATATTTTATGAAAATTAATAAAAGAATAAATTAAATAATAAAAAAGGTTTCTAGAAAGTTAATGACTTCATGGCTAATTAAATTGAAAGAAGTTTTATGTAAAAGCAGGCATGTAATCTCGTTTATGAAAGGTGTTGGGCCACAATATGTTATGACCTACAGTTACACGGTGTGCTGAGCAAAACTGCAGCTGAAGCCTTCCGGGAGGCAGGGATACTTTGGAGCACATCAGACTAAGGAAGAGAGAGAGAGAAAGATTAAAACAGATGGGCAGAGGGAGAATCAAATATTTATCAAATAAAGCAAATGATTTCAGCTTATTAGAATTTTTTTGTATAAATATTTTTGCTTTAAAATATTAATTGTTTTAAATAAATAAATAATATTACATACACTACTGTTTAAAAGTTTAAGTCAGTCATTTATTTTGGAAATGCATTCACTCGTTTTTTGTCTTTATTGAATTAAATGTCTTTGAAATACAGCAAATACTGTAATATTGTGCAATATAGTTTTATCTATTTTAATAATAATAATAATAATAATAATAATAATAATAATAATAATAATAATAACAACAACAATAATAAGAATAATAACTCCTTACATTTATATAGCGCTATTCTGGACACTTAAAGCATTTTACACATTTTTTGGGGGAATCTACTCATCCAACACCTAGATCCATCCACATGGATGACGTGACAGCAGCCCTATTGCGCCAGACTGCACACCACACACCAGCTGATTGGTGGGGAGGAGACAGAGTGATGAAGCCAATCATGATATGGGGATGGTTAGGAGGCCATGATGGACAGAGGCCAGGGGGGTAAATGTGGCTAGGATGCAGGGGTTAAACCCCTACTCTTTTTCAAAGAAAATCCTGGAATTTTTTTAAAGAGTGTCAGGACCTCGGTTTAGCATCTCAGCCGAAAGACAACGCTCACTGAGCAGTGTAGAGTCCCCACCACTATACTGGGGCATTAGGATCCACACAGACCACAGGCAGCAACCTAGCTTTACCATGTGGTCTCCCATCTAGATACAGACCGGGCACAGCGCTGCTTCAGTGGGCGACCATGTGAGAGTTGCAGAGAGCTAGCAGCAAATTTATTTGCACAATATTACAGTTTTTGCTGTATTTCAAAGAAATTTAATTCAGCAAACACAGTAAAATGTTCCTTAATCATTAAAATATATATTGTAATTTGCAATTTGATTATTTAGTTATTCAATTAATAAATTATTGCTGTTTTCTAACTGTTTTTGAAAAAAATGTAATTATATTTTTACATAAATTGCACAATATTACCGCGTTTGCTGTATTTGCTTTCAAAAACAGTAAAAAAACTTTTACAATTTGAATGGCAAAACAGTAAAATATTTCTTAATCATGAAAACTATATATGCTGCAACTTGATAATTTAGTTACCAGATTAATATTTAGATTTTGCTTTTGGTTGATAAAAGATTTGTGTCTCATGCTGTTATTTGACAATTGAGAAGAATCAAGAATTGTTTTTGTAATTACACCCTGATTCCCTGAACCTTCATAGAATCAAATCAGGAGTTGTCAAAGGATTCCCAGCATTAGTGATTAGATTATCTATCACAGGCCTCCCACCAGAGATTGAGTTTCAGTCAGAGGGTTGTTGATTTGTTGTCGCATTGCATCCTGGGAAATCTGTGTGTTTTGGTCGGCGAAAATCAGTTGCCTTTTGCGACCTCGTCTCTTCAGAGGCACAGATTGCTCGGCTGTGAGAGTCTGAAATAGAGGGAAAAATGAGATTGAAGAGCAAGAGGTTATCGAAACACCAGTGCATTGTTGTGGATTCAGGCCAATGTAACTTCACGCTTCACAACACATATGGATTATGTAACACTTGAGTATAATGGGCAAGGTAATACAGACACCAACCTCACTGGACTCCATCTCCACATCTCTCTCGCTGGCGTCCGTGGTTGTTGTCATAGTGATTGGGGGAGGCGTCATCTCTAAAGCGACTCGGTCTAAGGTGACCTCTGTAAAACGTCCATTACCTTCATCCATAAGGCACTCGCTGTTCTTCAGTCTGTGAACATACATTCAGAGATGATTGAAAGCTTTGAGAGCTACATTCAACACAAGCAGCCATTCCAGGCAAGCAGAGGTCAAGCAGACCCTTTATTTCAGACTTTTTAGGTCAAGGACATTTGGCCCAACAACTGTCACTGTCTATGCAAACTGATGTTATGTTAGGTCTCAAACCCAAACCAAGAGTCTGTTTGACCATTTGATTTTGACTTTCGTGACAGGTCTGTACTATACAGAAATCAAAAACACTTTACATTAAGGATGTATTAGTTAATCAGGGTATATACAGGAATCAGAGAGTGAATTTCAATAGCTTTTAAGACTTTAAGGGTGTTTTCACTCCTAGACTTTTGTTTCGAAACCTGTCACATTTGCCCAGTTTTAGCATGGTTCGTTTGGCATATGTGAATCAACCGATCGCGCTTGGATCCGCGCCAAAACAATCGCTCTGAGATCGCCTGAATGAGGTGGTCTCGGCTCGATTGAAACAAACTCTGGAGCGGATCGATTGTAGTGAGAAAGCAATACGATCAGAGCCCGGTAATATAACAGTGTTTTATGGATATGTAATAGGCATCCGGCTAAATAAAGAAAGAATTATGCGTAGGGCGGGAGGTCATTTAACAGACATCCCAAGTCTCCCGGAAGTTTCGGGAGTCTCACGCAAATGCACAGAGACTCCCGGATGCCCGTCAATGATTGATAATCTCCTAGAAATTGCGCGTCTCCCTCACGGTCCTCAAATACGTTGTACACCCTTCTCACCCCTCCCCTCCACATCCCTCCTCGCTCTTCAGACACATCGTGCTCATCTTGTCAAACACCACCAAACCACCACCCCCCTGACAGCTGAGCGGGACTATAAACCGTGAAACTCAAACACAACCTGTGGTCTGTGTGGATCCTAATGCCCCAGTATAGTGGTGGGGACTCTACACTGCTCAGTGAGCGTTGTCTTTCGGCTGAGATGCTAAACCGAGGTCCTGACACTCTTTAAAAAATTCCAGAATTTTCTTTGAAAAAGAGTAGGGGTTTAACCCCTGCATCCTGGCCACATTTACCCCCCTGGCCTCTGTCCATCATGGCCTCCTAACCATCCCCATATCATGATTGGCTTCATCACTCTGTCTCCTCTCCACCAATGTGAGTTGAGTTTACTCACAAGTGACTTGTTTTAGCTCTTTTGGTCTGTTTAGAAACTTTGCCGTGTGAAAGCGAACCAAACCCAAGAGCAAAGAGCAACAATAATGTAACAATTTTAATCCCTGTTTCGGAACAACTGAATCTATTCACATGTGTGAAAGCACCCTAAGACTCTTTACATACATTTTAAGACCTCATTGCCACTTTAGGTTTCAACTGGCAACATTCAACTGGCAACATTAGTTCATTTATTCATTTTCTTGTCAGCTTAGTTCCTTTATTAATCCAGGGTCGCCACAGCGGAATGAACCGCCAACTTATCCAGCAAGTTTTTACGCAGCGGATACCCTTCCAGCCGCAACCCATCTCTGGGAAACATCCACACATACACTCATACACTACCGACAATTTAGCCTACCCAATTCACCTGTACCGCATGTCTTTCGACTGTGGGGAAAACCGGAGCACCCAGAGGAAACCCACGGGAGCGCAGGGAGAACATGCAAACTCCACACAGAAACGCCAACTGAGACGAGGATCGTACCAGCGACCTTCTTGATGTGAGGCGAACGTGCTATCCACTGCGCCACTGCCTCGCCCGTAACATTAGAGTGTATTTACTAAATACTAATTGTGAGAATTCTAAACTAAAATTTAAAACATTAAATGCATATAATTGTTAATCCAGATAGAACAGCAGGAATAATGGTGCTGCCTTGGTTACTGCAGTAAACAAATCAGTCAAATCTAGCAGGATGTTATTGATTTAATAAAATACACGCATCCCAATATTTGCAGATTAAATCCACGTAAACTTTAGTATACAACTATACATTGCAAAATAAAAAACAATACAAAATTTAATACAAATTGAAATAGCATTTAAGGCTTATACATTATTATCTTTTAAAGGCCTTACATTTCTCTAATATGACTTTTAATGCTTTTTAAGACCCTGCAGATACCCTGTTAATGTTAGTTAATGCATTGAATAACATGAACAAACAATCAACAATACATTTACTACAGTATTTGTTTATGTTAATTAATGTTAGCTAATGAAAATACAGTTGGTATGTTAAGTCATGGTGCATTAACTAATGATAGCAAGCATGAATTTGCATGTTAATAATGCATTAGTAAATGCTGACCTATGATTAGGCCCACACGGAATCTGCGCGGGCAGAAATCAGTCGATTTCCGCAAATTTTTAGGCCATCATTGAGTCTATTTATTTGTGGAAATGTGTGTAAATTAATATTTATTCAGTTTTAAAATTATTTTCATGAATATTTTTGACTAATATGAAAAAAAAAATGGTTTATTTATAATGCAGTTTGTAAAGTCATATTTTCTGTAATTTATAAGATCTATTCTTGATGATGGGGCTACAGTTTTGATGTCTTACAAAAGCACTCTAGGTGTAAGAACGGTGCAAATCAAAGTATTTTCTCAGAGAGTGAAAACAAACACTTCAGTGCATCAGATCTTATCAGTGAGGGGAAGTGACATAATTTCCTGTATGTTACATACAGTAGTTGTGAAAGATTAATTTATCAGTTTAAATATATAAAGTATGGTACGGTAACAGTATAGATTTATGGACACCCATTTTTAAAAGACTAAATATATTTTTAAATAATTTAATGCTGTACAACGTGAAAAAAATATTATTTGGGGTTTTTAAATAATAAGAAATTGAATATTGCCAATAGAAAAGTAAAAAAAACACATTTTAAATACACAATAATACACAGAAAAAAACCTATACCGAGTAATATGTACAAAAAATTATGATTTTTAGCTATACAATCTTGTAAAAACCACCTGTAGAAACACACGTCTCTCAAACAAACAAACAAACAAACAAACAAACAAACAAACAAACAAAAACAAAACTCCCCCTTACTCTAGCACCTAATTCTCTAAGCACTACAGTTCCTTTGTATAATTAGCACTTCTTCTGTGTATTGCCTCTTCTGGTTAAATCGCTGAATGCCTCTTCAATTGAGAAGAGTCTGCAGACCTGGAGCAGTTGCAATTTGAGCTGCATGCAATAAAGCAATTTGAGCTTGCATCATAAAGTCTGCATCCAGATACTATTGCTTCAAGTCACTTTGGACAAAAGCATCTGCTAAATTACTAAATGTAAATCTAAATTTCACAGGAAGTCTCATCTTTCACTTTTCATAACAACCTAGTTCACACATTGGCAACAATAAAGCAAGCAATAAATAAAATATTCTTACATAGCTCATTATATTTGATCATTTAGGTTACAACATGTGATACAAATGCAAATCCAAATTCACTTGCTGGGTCTTTTTTCCTTATATAGTAAACTATATGACATTAATATGTAAACTACAATAATTCCTGCAAACTTCCATAATATCTACAGTAATACTCTCAGTTGCTGTAGAAACTGTTGCCATTGAGCTTAAGTTATTACCATTTAGTAGATGTATGAGATATTGACTATACTGTCTGAACAAGCAGGTCTTTCCAAATTAGAGCTCAGACATTTAAACAAAAGAACAGATTTGACATGCAAATCAGATGGGGGTGCAGTGTGACAAAAAAAATCTGGTTCTTGCTTCCTAAACTTTCTCTCTCTATATTCCTCAAGTGTTACTCACTGTTCTATAGAGACCATTGCAGGATCGAGACTTCCTGATTTCTCTGCATCTGCCACCCTTTCTCTTTCTTTATCTTCATCTGAAGAAGGACACAGAATTAAAAACATAGTTGAAAACATAAACTAAGCAATATATTATCCATTTTGGAAAAATGTAAAAATATAAATCAATCATTCATTCCTTTTCCTTTTGGTTTAGTCCCTTTATTAATCTGGGGCGCCACAGCAAAATGAACCGCCAACTTATCCAGCATATGTTTTACCCATAGGATGCTCTTCCATCTGCAACCCAACACTGGGAAATACCCATACACTCTTGCATTCATGCACATACAATACGGTCAATTTAGATAATTCAATTCACCTATGACTTTGGACTATGGAGGAAACCAGTGCACCCAGAGGAAGGGCATGCAAACAAGGGGAGAACATACAAACTCCACACAGAAATGCCAACTTACCCAGTTGCTAGAACCAGTAACGTTCTTGCTGTGAGGCGATTGTGCTAACCACTACACCACTGTGACGCCCAATATAAATAATATGTAACTTTATTTTCAACAACATATGTTTATATCTTTCACATTTATAAATTTGAATATTTTACATTTCAGATTTCTTAAAATCTCTGTATCTCAAACTTTTTGAAAATGCACATCTGAAATAGTAAAGTAAAATATCTAATGTATGGCATCTTTAAGGTTTAAAATATCACCAAGACCACATTTATTTTTTAAAAATACAGTAAAACAGCAATATTGTGAAATAACATTTAAATAAATAAATGTTAATTTAGTACATTTTAATACATGTTTGTGATGGCTTACGACATATGAGTACATTTTAGACTTTATTCTAGACTTCATTGGCCACTAATGGTAGAGTTAGATTAAAAATAGATGGAATTGTGTATGTAAATTGTACAGTGAAAAGTGTAAATTAAAAAATATATATTTTTATCCATTTCCCATGGAATATAGACAATATAGTTGAATGCATTTGAACAAAACCATTTTACTAAACAGTTATGTTCATTAAAATAAGAATCCTTAGGAATAGAAAGATAAAACACTTAGGGCCCTATCATACACCCGGCGCAATGTGGCGCAAGGCGCAAGGCGCAGCGCAATAGTCTTTTGCTAGTTTCAGCTTGGCGTAAGAGTCGTTTTGAGTCGTTGCGTTACGCTGTTTAAATAGCAAATGCATTAGCGCTCATATGAGTGCCCATAGGCGTTCTGGTCTAAAAAGGAAGGCATTCTGAGGCGCACTGCTGGAGCGTTGCTATTTTGAGAAACTAAAATAGATTTTTCATTAGACCAAAACAAACCCGGTCTAAACTCCGGCGCAGAGTTGCGCCTCGCTAACACACTGCTTAATATGCAAAAGAGAGCAACATGCAAATATCTTTACATATGAAAAAAAAAATGTATATTAAGGATATATATAGGATATAATAAGAATAGATATAGGATATAAATATAAAGGATTAAAATATTACAAAACATATTATTTTCTAGCCTACATAAATATGAAAAATCACTGCTTTTATGTCTTCTTCATCTTGGGAGGCTTTTCAGTTCATTCATAACAATTTGCTTTTGTATAATGTTATTATTATTAGCAGTATTATTTATTATATCCATATTTATATTTGTTTTATTAAAAACAAGCTTAGATTTGCCCACCTGTCAGGTTTTAGACTATATGGGGCACAGTATGTGTTTTAGGATATAACTCCTTGTGTGTTTTTGAGCACACTACGTTATTATTATTGTTCATTTATTCGTTTGCTGGAAATTAGAACTGAATTTAGAAATAGTTTTGAAACGAATACGTGCGCTTAACAAATGCAATTAATTGTTTATAGACTAATTGATGTCTGTGCGTAATGGTTTCCCTATCCAAGAGCGAAAGTGAAAGTAGATCCATTATCTCTCATTCTCACGCAGTAGATGCTCTGTTTAACAGTTTTCTGTTAAAAAAACTGTTAACTGTTTGCTAGTGAAATGCTCAGTTTTTCCACTTAGACTTACTTTACGTCCTGTAAATAGCGAATGCGCTTTTGGCACGACGCAGCTGGCTCTTAAAGGGAATGGGAGATGAGACTCTAATTGGTTTATTCTCAAAACACACCTATAACTCATTAAGAAAATAAACTCAACCCTTTTAGACCAGGCATGCGCCACGGCGCAAAGCAGATTTTCCCATCCTTAAATCAGCAAAAATGCGTTCTGACACGCCCTGAAAGTGTTTGCGCCTTGCGTTTTTCGCTATGCGCATGGACCTTCAAAATAGAGCCCTTAAATTCAAGTGAGGAGTTGCAAAAAAAAAAAAAGACAAACTACCAAATTTCAACTAAATTTAAGATTTTTTTTTTATGGTTCTCTTGAATTTTTCGCTTTATTAAAAAACTTTCATATCTTTCCCTAATATATTTTTTGGGGAGTTCTTATTATTGCAATGTGATGTTATTATTTTGTCACATTAGTTTTAACTTTCGGACGGTAAGGTGGCTCAGTGGTTTGCACTGTCACGTCAGAGCAAGAATGCCGCTGATTCGAGCCCTGGCTGAATCAGTTGGCACTTCTTCCTCCGAGTACTCCAGACTACAGAACTACACAGTCCAAAAACATGCAGTATAGGTGAATTGAATAAGCTAAATTTGCCATAGTGTATTGTGTGAATGTGAGAGTCTATGGGTGTCTCCTAGAGCTTGGTTATGGCTGGAAGGACATCCTCTGTGTAAAACATACAGTGCTCAGCATAATTGAGTAATACCCCATTTTGAAAATATATATTTTTATCCACATCTCAGTGAACATAGGCAATGTATTTTGGTGCATTTAAACAAAACATTTATTAAACAAATATATTTATCAAAATAATATTTTAGTCATTAAACATATTTAGAAATAGAAAGATAATGCAATTAAATTCAAGCCAAATATTGCAAAAAAAAAAAAAAAACCTACAAAATTTCAACTAAATTTTTTTTTTGCTTCTCTTGATTTATCATCTTTTTTTTTAATATAATAATATTTAATAAATATATAATATATTTTCTATAACATATAAATTTGGGTGTACTAGTTTCATGACCATTATCGTAAGTTATTTTGTAAGATAAGCTAAATATTTGGCTTCAGTTCTGAGTAATCTAATGTATATGCACAAATATAATTTTGTATAGCTTCCTATAAAAAAAAAATATTTAAAATATAGATTTGTGGGGGGTGTACTTAAATATGCTGTGCAGTGTATGCTGGAATAGTTGGTGGTTTATTCGGTGTGGTGACCCTTGATAAATAAAGGGACTAAGCCAAAGGAAAATAAATGAATGAATAAATAGTTCCACCTTTGGCTTTGGCACTGACTAATATAATGTACATACACAAATATCCTAATTTACAGCATCTTATAAAAGTATTCCTTTAAAAGAGAGGTCTGTAAGATGTATACTCATTAATGCCGGGTACTGTATGTTACATACAATTTTGTGTATATTAAATTTTAAAACCTATCTGAAAAATATTCACTGCATGTACAGTATTTATCATCCGAAATATTGAGTTAACACACAAGATGTGTGGGATGTGTAAGATTGCTCCAAATTATGTGGAAATCTGTGAAGTGCTCTGAAGGCTTCAGTGGACAAAGATTGTGTGTGGGCCTGTGAATGGTTAATAATGAAACATTAACTTGTGTTAAATCAGATCAATTTCAATTTAAGTGTCTATCTATCAGTCTGTCCATTTCTCTAAAGATCTCACCCTCAAGATGGAACTGATCTTGCTGTTCCATGAGCAAGTCGATCTCATGAGCTGTGGCTTCAGGCAACTCTGCCCCACCAAACTATAATATAATCAGGAAAACAGCATATGAAGCGTGTGGTACAGTAAACACAGAAAAAAGGAACGAATAATATAATCTGGTGTTATTCGTGACTAAGCTTCATGTGGGCAGATGATCTGTTTTAGTCTAAAAATTCACAAAAAGCTTATGAATTTTGTGAGGGCAAATGGCACTGAAGGGGTGTCATGCATTTGGTGTGAGAAAAAGGCTGTTGACACAGACTTAAAAATATTTGTGTGTGTTTTCTATTGCCAGTATGGAGGAGTGTGATGCATGTAGTCAAAATCACCTCAGCTGCTAGAACAGGCACCAACTCTGCGTCTTTGATTGTGATTGTTTCAGGAGAAGCAACAAGCCCTTTAAAAGAAAAAAGCAGAGAGATGAGGTGAAAACCACAAAGAGCAAAAATTTCAGTTAGTTTTACTATTTCAAAATCTCACCTTTAGGTGATGTAATTTCCTTTGTGTGTGTCAGAGGAGATGATGCACTCATAAACTGCTGGAACAAAATATAATAAATTCATGGTTCAGGTTATAATTCAGTTAGCTTTTTACAATTATTTTGTGTTAATATGTGCAATTACTAATAATGTTATATGGTGTATATATAGAGAGCAAGGATAATTTATATATACAATATTTGCTATTACTGCGAGGCATTGACACAGTAGGAAGTGCTGTCGCCTCACAGCAAGAAGGTCGCTGGTTCGAGCCTCAGCTGGGTCAATTGGCGTTACTGTGTGGAGTTTGCATGTTCTCCCTGAGTTCACATGGGTTTCCTCTGGGTGCTCCGGTTTCCCCCACAGTCCAGAGACATGCAGTATAGGTGAATTGGGTAGGCTAAATTGTCTGTAGTGTATGAGTGTGTGGATGTTTTCCAGAGATGGGTTGTGGCTGGAAGGTCATCCGCTGCATAAAACGTGCTGGATAAGTTGGCGGTTCATTCCGCTGTGGCCACCCTGAATTAATAAACAATCTCATGGACAACAAGCAATCCGGCTTTAAGAAAGGCCACTCAACTGAGACTGCCCTACTCTCGGTCGTGGAGGATCTCAGACTGGCTAAAGCAGACTCTAAATCATCAGTCCTCATTTTGCTGGACTTGTCAGCTGCTTTTGACACGTTCAACCACCAGATCCTGCTATCTACGCTTGAGTCACTGGGCGTTGCGGGCACTGTTATACAATAGTTCAGATCTTACCTCACTGACAGGTCATTCAGGGTGTCTTGGAGGGGAGAGGTGTCCAACCCACAGCATCTAAACACTGGGGTACCTCAAGGCTCTGTTCTCGGGCCACTTCTCTTCTCCATCTACACATCATCTCTAGGACCAGTCATCCAGAGACATGGATTTTCCTACCACTGCTATGCTGATGATACCCAGCTATACCTCTCTTTTCATCCTGATGATCCCTCAGTTCCAGCTCGCATCTCACCCTGCCTGTTGGATATTTCACACTGGATGAAAGATCATCATCTTCAGCTGAACCTCGCAAAAACGGAAATGCTTGTAGTTTCTGCCAACCCAACTCTACACAATAACTTTTCAATCCAGATGGATGGGGCAACCATTACTGCATCCAAAATGGTGAAAAGCCTTGGAGTAACGATTGATGACCAACTAAACTTCTCTGACCACATTTCTAGAACTGCTCGATCGTGCAGATTCGCACTCTATAACATCAGAAAGATCCGACCCTTCTTATCTGAACATGCAGCTCAACTCCTTGTTCAAGCTCTTGTTCTCTCCAAACTGGATTACTGCAACTCTCTACTAGCTGGGCTTCCAGCTAACTCTATCAAGCCTCTTCAACTGTTCCAGAATGGAGCAGCACGAGTGGTCTTCAATGAACCTAAACGAGCACATGTCACTCCGCTGCTAGTCCGTTTGCACTGGCTGCCAGTTGCTGCTCGCATCAAATTCAAAGCTCTGATGTTTGCCTACAAAGTGACTTCTGGCCTTGCTCCTTCTTATCTGCTCTCGCTTCTGCAGATCTATGTGCCCTCCAGAAACTTGCGTTCTGTGAATGAACGTCGCCTCGTGGTTCCATCCCAAAGAGGGAAGAAATCACTTTCGCTCACGCTCAATCTGCCCAGTTGGTGGAATGAACTCCCTAACTGCATCAGAACAGCAGAGTCACTCGCTACTTTCAAGAAACAACTAAAAACTCAACTATTTAGTCTCCACTACACTTCCTAATCTGCAATTGCCTCTCTGAATATCACACTAATTGTACCAAAAAAATAAAAATAAAATAAAAATAAAAAAGTAAAAAATACTAATACTACTAATACTTCCCTTCTTAGACTTTACAGACCTGAAACTTGCCTATAGCACTTATTCATTGTTGCTCTTGGTTGTGTAAATTGCTTCCTTGTCCTCATTTGTAAGTCGCTTTGGATAAAAGCGTCTGCTAAATGACTAAATGTAAATGTAAATGTAAATAAAGGGACTAAGCCGAAAATAAAATAAATGAATGAAGAAATATTTGCTATTACATTTTTCTTCTAAAGAAACGTTCGAGGTTACTAAAGTAACCCTTCGTTCCCCGAGGAGGGGAACGGAAGCACTATAAGTGGATTTGATTGTAAAATCCACGCATTGGGAGGTTCGGTTCAGAAGCTACTCGTCTGAAAGAGTATTGAACGGGCCAATTAAGAATGAATTGGCAGCGCAAGCCTGCGCAGGTGAGCAGCATAAGCAATCAACTGAGTATATAAGCTCACCTGGCGCCAGCAGACGCTATCCTTTTTAAGCTGAAGAGACTTTCAACAGCTAAGGGACAGTCATTATGGCGACGGAGTATAGTGCTTCCGTTCCCCTCCTCGGGGAACGAAGGGTTACTTTAGTAACCTCGAACGTTCCCCTTCGGGGGGAACTTCAGCACTATAAGTGGATTTGATTGTAAAATCCACGCATTGGGAGCCCATTGAAAGCGCCATAATGACTGCACCTTACCAACACCCCCGATGAGGAGATAGTCAAGCAAGCGTGACGCACCCACATCATGGGGGGCGCGGTCCTCCAACGTGTCCCTGGCCCTAATTTATCCTACTTCAACAGAAGTTTTACGGATTTATATATATTTTTTGGGAAGTCGTGAGCATCTAGATAATTCTAGGAAAATACGACAGTACGTTGGGAAGCGTGCAATCCCGATAGGGAGGACGCTGCGGAGGCTATCCGTTACCCAAGGGGGGATAGATGGCAGAATTTACATATGGACTAGCCCTAAAAAGGGGGAGTACGCATAGCAAAAGAGTGGTTAGCGGGGAGGGAAGACACGGGTCCGCCCAGGGGGGGGGACTTAACCGTGGCTGAATAAGCATATGGGATCGCCTAGTGGGGACCACGCATAGCAGGCACCTTTACCCAAAACGCGGGCTGACCAGTGGGCAGACCTACAACGTAGTGGGCCAGCAAGTGACTCCTCCGCTGAGTCAGTGCTGGGGGCCACGGAGGAATCTGCAGGGCTCACCTGACGGGGAACTTACTGACAGATAAAAAGGCGCACGTATCTCCGTGTTAGGGAAAATGGCGCAGCAAGCGTGTTTCAACACCCTACCGAATTGTTTCCTCAATCACCAAGGGTTACCTAATACCCTTGAGGAAACCGGCTCCACTCGCAGATTGTAAAACCTTGCAAATGTGTTGGGTGTCACCCAGCCCGCAGCTCTACAGATGTCTGTTAGAGGGGCGCCGCGTGCGCGCGCTCGAGAGGATGCGAAGCTCCGAGTGGAGTGCGCACGCGCTCTCGGGGGACGCGGCTCATCTCGGCTCTGATAGTGAAAGAAAGGCATCCACAATCTAGTGGGAACTTATTTCGGTACGGCACTTCCCTGCTGCCGACCGCTATAACAGACGAAGTCACTGTCACTGACCGAAAAATGCCTCCGGGTCCCCGACCCTCTAATCGATATCAACGCGACCAGCAGAGCTGTCTTCAGGGACAGAAATATACTGAGTCGAGGATCGAAGGGATCTGACGCGGCTTGTGTAGCGAGGGCGAGATCCTAAGAGGGCATGAGAGGGGGCGGGGTGGATTAATTCGCTTAACGCCCCTGAGGAACCGGATGATGAGGTTATGCGTTCCCACGGTGCTGCCAGCCACCGCGTTATGAGAGCGGAGATGGCAGCCACGTAACCTTGAGTGTGGAGGGCGACAGCCTGCTCTCCAACTTCTCTCGGCGTAAAGAAAGCACAACGCTGATCTGGCAAATTACGGGGGTCTTCTCAGCGAGAGACACACCATTCAGTGAATAGACTTCACGTCAGGGCATAGGCGCGCTCGGGGAGGGGGCTCTAGCCCGAGTGACGGTATTAGCCACCGCAATCGGAGGTTACCTAAGTCTTCCTCGCGTTAAAAATCTCCAAAGATCGGCGAGGGTGCCAGGTGGTGCCCTGTCCCTGAGAGAGTAGGTGCTCTCTCGAAGGGACTGCCAGGGGAGGGCTATCGCGAGGGAGAGCTCTGACATCCAGGTCCGGTTGAGCCAGAGGGGCGCAACCAGTAACCTGTTCCTCGTCCTCCCTGACCTTGCACAGTAACTGCGCGAGCAGGCTCACTGGGGGAAACGCGTATTGCGCGTGCCCCGAGGCCAGCTGTAAGCCAGTGCATCCGTGCCGAGAGCACTCGGTCAGGGAAAGAACAACTGGCAATGAGTGATCTCGGGGGAAGCAACAGATCGATCTGGGCTTCCCCGAATCACGCCCATATCAGCTGAACAGACTCGGGGTGGAGTCTCCATTCTCCAGGACGCAAGGCTGCTGTGAGAGCGCATCGGCTGCACGGTTGAGCTTGCCTGAATATGAATGGCGTGCAGCGATTTCAGCCGCGGATGACTCCAGAGGAGCAGACGGCGGGCGAGCTGAGACATGCGGCGAGAGCGCATACCCCCTATACGGCTGATATACGCCACCGCCACCGTACTGTCCGTCCTGACCAGCACGTGTTGCCGCTCCAACACCGGAAAAAAACGGTGGAGAGCGAGGAACACTGCCAACAGCTCCAGGCGATATGCCAATGCAACTGGGTACCTTTCCACAGGTCCGCAGCCGCATGCCCGCAACGCACAGCCCCCCAGCCCGTGTTGGAAGCGTCTGCTGAAACTACAACAAGACTGGACGCCTGTTCTAGAGACACCCAGGCCTGTAGGAACGAGGGGTCGCTCCAAGGGCTTAGGGCGCGGCGACACAGCGCAGTAACAGAGACTCGGTGTGCGCGCGCGTGCCATGCGCGTCTGGGGACTCGATCGTGAAGCCAGTGCTGAAGTGGTCTCATATAGAATAATCCGAGCGGCATGAAGCGGCTGCGGATGCCATATGCCCCAGGAGCCTCTGAAATAGTTTCAGTGGGACCACTATTTTACTGTCGAGCTCTCTCAGACAGTACAGCATCAGCTGAGCGCGCTCTCCGGAGAGGCGCGCTGCCATGGTGACCGAGTCCAGCTCCAGCCCGAGAGAAGAGATCCTCTGCACGGGGGCGAGTTTGCTCTTTT